CATCAAGACCTCAAAGGGTATACTTAAAGTAAGGGTTCTTATCTCCCAGATCCTTACACTCAGCATCCAAATCCCTCCCCTCTCTCTCCGCCTGCTCCACCAGCGCAGCTTTCTGGGCATTCCATCTCCGAATACAGAATAACAGTGCCCATCCGCTCAAGAATGCACAGGCGGTAACTGAAAATAGCACCGAGTAGGCGGTCATATATTTTGGTTTCTCTTTAACCAGGAATATATTCGAACCCACGGTTCCGCCCACGAGATTTCCCAGGGTAAACTGGAGGGCCATTCCGACGGCGCGCTTCCATTGTCCCGCGAGGTTGTTGGAGGTCCATGCGACGGTGGTGGGGATACCGGAGAAGATACCACCGGCAACCAGGAAGAGGGCAAAGTAAATGACACCAGGAAGTTTGGTGGGATCGACGGCCATGCCGATAATAAGCCCTATCATTGTCATTCCCATGGGGGCGATGATGAAGGCGGCGCGGTGCTTGTAGCGATCTGACAGGACTGAGTTGAGGACGCAGATGATACAGCCAAAGGCGTAGACGGGAATGGTGAGAAGTTGAGCGTTGGCAGCGCTGTAGCCGAGGAGGTTAATCATGGTAGGGAGAGAGTATGAGAGCGCATATGTGCAGATGCAGATGGCTCCAAATATGATCTGAAAACTGGGTCAGCTCTGAGAATATTTGATGTGTAGAGACAAGTTCCACTGAGAGTATAAAAGTATATTAGACATACAGTTCCTATGTAGACCTTAGCATCAGTGAAACCTTGGATAAGATACTTCCATTCAAAGCCTCCCTCCTTGTAACCTTTGTCGTGGCCGTCAAACTGCAATCGTAGCTCCAAGAATCGTGCTTCTTCTGGCGAAAGCCACTTTGCCGAACCGGGTGAGTCTGGAATGAAGAAATAGCAAATGGAGGCAACAACACAAGTGGCAATGCCTTCAAGAATAAAAAGCCATCTAAGAAGTGAACATTAGCCAGAGTTGATCAAAGATTTCGTTAGGATATCAAAAACGGCTCGTACCTCCAGCCACTGTAGCCGCGAACGCCTGTCATGTTACCGATAGCAAAAGCAAGAAGCCCAGAAAAGGCACCAGAGAGTGATGCTGCAGAATAGAAAAGGGCGACACGATACTGGACCTCAAACCTCTTGTACCAGGCGGTAGTAATGAAAGTACAGCCTGGGAAGAGACCGGCTTCGAACACTCCAAGAAAGAAACGACATGCCAGGAGTGCAGAATAATTTTGGCAGAGCCTACCAATCCTTGTTAGAGACCACTAATTCCTGCCAAAAAGCAAATCTTCTCAAATGGGCCAAAACTCACCCCATGACTGTCATGATAATACCCCATCCGAAGACAATGATTGTCAGCCAAATAGATGGGCGTAGCAACTTGAGCATGATATTGCTTGGAACCTCGAACAAGGCATAAGGGAAAAAGAAGATGGTCAAGCACCTATCGTCCATTAGTATAACGTGCGGAAACCCCCAAAAAAAATGCTAGAAAATTCAATACCAGGCATATTGCTGAGGACTAAGATTTAGGTCTTTCTCTAAACCCTGAAGCCTTGCATTTCCAATGTTCGATCTATCGATGAAAGCAACAAGATACAAGATCGCCAAGGGGGGCATTAGGCGTACATCAACTCGACGCAGAAGCGACTTGACACGATTCTCGTCGAATTTAGCCTGGAGGTCATGGTACTCCTGAAGCTCTGGTAAAACAAACTCGTCACGTTTCTCGGTGACCTCGCCACCGATCCCGACTTCTGATGATTTGTCCATCTTCTCTGTTATCCAAGGCGCAGTCGCAGGTTGAAGCAAGATCGCTACCCCGTGGGGAAAAACTGGAGGGGCAGAGGCCACCCTATATTTTCCATATATCAGTGCATCCAAACGAGCATAAAGTCCATGGCGCCATCGAGAGCCAGAACTGTGCCCCCTGGCCAGATCGTGTGCATGTGCAATGCGCCGCGGAGAGCAACCCTCCGCGACCCGACATCCCCACATTTTCCCCATAGATCCCCACATCGAGGCTGATTAGTAAGGGGGTAGACCCCACGACAGCGGCGAATCCACAGTCGGAGCGGAGGTCCGTCAATTTGGTTCTTATCTCTTTCCCCGCGGCTAAGAATCACGGGATCGTGGGGTTCTGCCTGGGCTCCGGGGGTTATCTCGCGAAGGCGCTCCTACATTGTAACTACATGCGAAATACGCCATTCGTAGTGAAGTCAGGAAAGGAGTGAGTCTGTCCGTCCATGAAACCGTAGAGCAGGTCCTCCTGAGCGTAATGGCTGTTGGGCATACTAAATCCCGAGCTGAAAGTATCTCCATGATTTAGATCTCCCGTGACCGGGGACCGCGAGGGAAACATGCGCAAGATAGCATCCAGATCCAGGGAAGAAGGAGAATGGATATCCACGCCTGGTGGATCTATTGAAACAATATTGGTTAAACTCCCTCTCCCTCCATCCAGCCTGGTGAATATGGGAATAACATACCTGACACTAACTGCAACCCATTCGCCGCCATAATCTTGCGAATGATCCTAGCAGGCTTGGAGACTCCAACATTTGGAAGAGAAAGCTCATCCAGGCTGTGCAAACTTGCCGATAGCAGCGACGAATTTTCTCCAGGATTATCTCTCTCAGTCGCAGCCGCGTTGCGGACGTGAATAGTGCATGCCACATAAACGGCATAGCTCATCAGATACGGCGCTCCCCGTAGCGTGTACGTGGCTTGATAAGCAAGAACTATGCTAGTGATGTTTCTAGCGGCTGTGGAACACCGCTTCCATGAACTCGCCGGCGGAACGGCGGACCGAAGGTGGCCATCGGAAATGAATGGCCGATGAAGAAGAATAACCAGCGAATAGTACAAAGCATTTAGAATCATCACGTTGGGGGCAGGTCGAGCCTGTGAGGTCGCAGGATTACCCGACCAAGGCTCAAATTTGAGGTCCCCGGGGAGACTGTCCTTCCACGAGATAAGGGCGTCGTCGATAGACTGAAGGCTCGCTCTTGCATTTGCTGCCGTGGCCCCAACAACGTAAAATCGGTTAATGATTTTGGTCATGATTCTTGATAAGAGGCACAGTTGTTGGAATGTAGATACCGAATGAATCGGGGTGGGAGTGAGCGGAATAGTTGACATATTTTCTGTGGGGAACATCGGGTCAACATATGGCGTCCACAACTCCTTTTCCTCCATCGTGTCCATGAAATTACGTGAAACGTGGACATCTCTTAGATGGATTGTCATTGGCCGCCCCAAATACAAACTCTGCAGCTTGTCGCAAATGAAAGCGCCCCAGAACACCCGCCTGCGAATCTCGATATCTTCAGCGTTCGCGGTCGTAGCTTTGTAGTCCAGGTGAAGGCCCAGATCGTATACCATTCGGAGTGCATAGCCAGTATAGAGCCACCCTTTCGAGGTATCACCACGTGCATTGTAAGTGGATCCCAGCAGAAGCAACCCTACTAGTGTCGCGATGCTTGACGCGTTCAGAAGAGATTGCTCCGCCAAAAGCTGGTCGCAACGCGCGAAAAAACGAAGACCAGACGTGGTAGAATCGACTGGGTTATCTCGGACTTCAATTCTCTGAGAATATTTACTGGAACATGCAAAAATGGCATTGATTAAGAATTCGGAGCAGTACGGCCCATTTTGCATCAAGTCTCTCATGATTGCCGGGCGATACGTAAGGAGAAACGTGTGATGCTGCCTGTTCCAATGAAGATCGAGCAGGTGCTTAGCCAGTTCCAGTGGAACACCAAAGACGTCCTGTCTGTAGCAAAGGTCATGTTCGCGTTGGCGCTGCAGGATTGCGTTTGCAATCAGCTGGTTTCGAACATGCTCGGCAACGGGCGACTCAGTGGGAATAACAGGTCGCGTGGGGCCTTGGAGAGCGGACGAAGGGCCAAAGGTGTCTACCTTTCCACCTTCACCGACAGAAAGGAATGGAAGGACGTCGAGATCTTCGTCAGAGGAAATGCCAGCTCCATCGTCGTCAGACTGGTGTCTCTTCCCAGTTCTAGTGGCGCTTTTCGGCTCTTGCAGAACTGCTAGTGCCGGTGAAATTGTTTTCACAACCACATTTCCATCTACGATTGGAATGGATTCCAGAATACCAGCTACTTCGTCTGGCGACGCTCTTTTGAGCCGTAAAACGACATCTTCCAGGGCCCTCTTTTCACCTTGCAATGCATTGACAATAGCGGTAGACGGCCTGACTCTTTGTCAGCGCAACCTTTTACGGGGAAAACCACACAAGAAAAGATGGATGGAATGATCGGATTTACCTCCGCTTGGGAACTTCGAGAATATATACGCACTCCTTCTTCTGGTTAATGCATGAACTGCAACTTGGACGCTGAGTGTCGCATTTGATCTTTCTCGCCCGGCAGAACTGGCATGCACGCGCCAGTACCTTGGGCTGGCTAGGCTCTTGGGACTTGGCCATGGTTTGCGGTGGTAGGCATGTCGTCGCTTGCGCCTCGGGTTTGAAAGATGGAATGCCGTTCAACGCACGGGTCTGGCGCCCTAAGGTTGCGGTGTCTCATTAGTCACACGCGGGCCAACCGACTCGTTCTCTGGCTCACCAACCCACTCAGCCGGCCAGCGAATCAAAAGCGCAACTTCGTCAGCTTTTAACCAGCGGCCAACTTCGGGATGATCCCATTCCCGGCCGGCGTTAGCTACGAGAATGCAGGAGAAGATCTATGTTCTCCTTTTGTTTCTCCCTTGAAGTTGAACGTCTTAGAAAGTAGGCCCCGTATCGAAAATCACATACGGAGTATATTCAATGCGATTACGGAGCATGTGCCATTAATAAAAGCGTATATAATTTTCATTCGATCATCACCGCTGGTTGGATGCTTGAAAAAAAAAAAAAAAAAAAAAAAAAAATTGAGGAAAATATACGGAGTAGAAACCGAGGATATCCTCAGGCCCAACACCACCATCACAGTTAACAAAAAAACGAAGCTATTCTAAACCGCCAATCTTCCACCATCCACAGGTAAATTAACTCCCGTGATAAATGAAGCCTCGTCGCTTGCTAGATAAACAGCTGCATTTGCAACATCCGTCGGCTCCGACATCCGTCTCAGCGGCACCGATTGTGCGAATCTTTCGCGCTCTTCCGGCGTATCGGGGACACCAGAGAACATCTCTAATAATCCAGTCTTTCCGCGAAGAGGGCAGATGGAGTTAAATCGAAGACCTTGGGGCCCATATTCTGCAGCGAGACCCTGTGTGACCTGTGCCATCCTCGACGTTAGCCAGCGCCTTTTACAGGGGGTGGGATGATTGGTGTCGGAAACGGGATCAGGTAGCCGGCATGGCGCAAGCTCAGCAGAAGAGAGAAAGCTCCATACCGTATTCAAAAAGCCCTTTGTGCCGCCATAAAATACCTGGCCAGGTCTTACTCGTGTGCCTGCGACCGACGATGTATTCAAAAACACACCAGACTTCCTCTCGACAAAGTACGGGACCACGACAGCGACGCTCTGATAGATGCTCTTCACGTTCACGGCAATAATTTTATCAAACTCATCCTCTGTAACCTCAATGCTAGGCTTCTTCCGGTATGTCGTTCCAGCGTTGTTCACAACAATGTCCAGTTTACCGAATTTCTGCTTTGCCAACTCGAGAGCATCTTCCCACGCCTTGCGGCTTGTGCAGTTGAAGTCCACGAAAACTGCACTGCCTCGCGCGGCTCCGGATTTGGCCTCGATGTCCTTCACGACACGGTGGCCGTTCTCGACCGCGATATCTGCGACCAGGACGTGGGCGCCTTCGTCAACGAAGGCGTGCGCGATGGCTTCGCCAAACCCGGAACCCGCACCAGTCACAATAGCAACTTTCCCTTCAAGTCGGCCAACCATTTTGCCCAGTGAAGTAATGGAAGTGTAATGATCCAATGTCGCGGGGCGAATATGCTGAGGAGTAAGGACTTCGGCTTTTTTTTTTTTTTAAGACAAAGTGTCTAGAATTAGCTAGGAAAAACACCCAAGCGATAAATCAGGAGGTCAGACCAGCCGGCCAGAGCGTTTCTTTTGAAAGCTCCGTTTGCCTTCTGCCTCTCGCCAGCGCTGCGGAACGAATGCATTCGCGATTCCCGCGATCGGGCGTGTTGACCCCGCATAGTGGGGGAACAGCCGTTGATTGCTTCGGCATGTTTAGCAGACCCGAATCATCAAAAGAGCTTTGGTGGCAGGTTGCGCCCGTTTGTTTCTCGCTTCTTGGCTACCCGACGGCACATCCGGGGAAACGTGAAGCACAAAAGCGTTTCATGGACGGTCCTTGGCGGTTCCGTTGCCTTTGCCCGCTACTCGACGGAGTGGAATGCTCCGCAACCTCCACGGCGCAACCTGCGCAACGGACATCGTCATCGCACCGATTGGTCTTAGGCCTCGGCGGAAGATCAAATTGCGATTCGTGCCGCCAGTATGGCCGTCATCGGGACCCCAGGACAGCGCTCTGGATCGCTCAAGGCTTCTCTTCTCGCGAGTAGACGGAACAAATGTTTCCCGGTCTCAGCCTGCCTCATCCAGGTGGAAGACAGACTCCGTACACAATTCCGCTCTCGCCGCCGGGTGAGCGGTGTATGGCCTGACCCAGCAGACTCCGTGACAGGTTTCCGTGCTTTTACCCAGGGCGCATATAACAACTATTTGTCTTCTTAAAATCATCTCACGCTGGCAACTTGTCTTTCAATGACGGACTCCAAAGTTCAGCAAGAATAGAACCATTGCTCTCGGCCTTTCTGCCTCGGTTGCCTGTCCCTCGGATACGGATTGAATCTTACCAATGTCCCTCCCACTGGACTGCGACGTCCTGGTTGCCGGCAGCGGCAATGCTGGGTTTTCAGCCGCCATATCAGCAGCCGAATCAGGCGGTGGACGAGTTGTTCTGATCGAAAAATCCCCAGAAGAATGGTCTGGCGGCAATTCGTTCTTCACCGCAGGCGCATTCCGTACCGTCCACGGTGGACTCGACGATCTCCTCCCAATCGTGAACAATGTCGATAAAGACACGGCACAGATTATCGATATGGAACCTTACACCCCGAAGAATTTTACGGACGACCTTCTCCGCATGACAGCTAATCGGACAGACGCAGAGCTTAGCAAGATTCTTGTCCAAGATTCAAATTCAGCCGTCAAATGGCTTGCACATCACGGTGTGAGATTTCAACTATCGTTCAATCGTCAAGCCTACAAAGTCGATGGTCGATACAAGTTTTGGGGAGGGATGTCGCTCAAAACTGAAGATGGTGGAAAGGGCCTTATTCAGGATCATCTTACGGCGGCCCGCCGTCTCGGAGTGACTGTGCTCTATTCAACCCCCTTGAAAGGCATAATCAAGGACCAGAATACTGGAGCCGTTACCGGTGCTCGCGTTGAGCACAACGGCCAGGAGCGAATCGTCAGAGCCAAAGCAGTGATTCTAGCAGCTGGTGGCTTTGAAGCTAACTCACGGATGAGAGCCCAGTATCTCGGCCCTGGGTGGGATCTTGCTCTTGTGCGCGGCACCCCTTTCAACGTCGGCGACTGCCTCGAAACTGCTATTCGTGATGTCTCCGCCAAGCAAGCTGGAAACTGGTCTGGCTGCCATTCTGTCGCCTGGGATGCCAATGCTCCCGCCAATGCTGGCGATCGCGAAATCTCCAATCAGTTCACCAAGTCCGGCTATCCTCTCGGCTTGATGGTCAACTCTGAGGGTGAACGTTTCGTCGATGAGGGCATCGACATGCGTAACTACACCTACGCCAAATTTGGCAGAGCAATCCTCGCACAGCCAGACAACATTGCCTTCCAAATATGGGACCAGCAGACGATCTCGTGGCTACGACCGGAAGAGTACCGTCCGGAAATTGTTGAGCACATCACCGGCTCTACGATCGAAGAGCTGGCAGAAAAATGCGCCCAGCGCGGCCTACACAATCAGGAGAAATTTGTCAAGACCATTTCGGACTACAATGAAGCGGTCTATCAGAATCGCAGGCAGAATCCGAACGCGAAATGGAACCCTGCAGTCAAAGACAGACTATCTACACAGTCTCGCAACGGAGGACTTGCACTTGCGAAAACGAATTGGGCGCTGCCATTAGATAAGGGCCCTTTCCTTGCAGTCAAGGTGTCTTGCGGCATCACCTTCACTTTTGGTGGATTGGCGGTAAACCCACAAACGGCTGCTGTGATCTCTTCAGCGTCAAACAAGGAGATTCCTGGATTATATTGCGTTGGAGAGATGCTGGGAGGCTTGTTCTATGGCAACTATCCTGGTGGTAGCGGTTTAACTGCCGGTGCCGTGTTTGGCCGGAGAGCTGGAGCAGCTGCTGCTGCAAGCGTTAGTCGGCAGTCCGTGGTGGATAGAGCGAGGTTGTAATAAAAAGAACTGGTTAAATGTTTCAGATATGCTGGGTTTATAATTCTGTTTTAATTCGTTATGTATATAAACTTGCATGGAAGATGTCAGTTGCATATAGACAGAATTCGATCTGCTCTTGAGTTCGAAAGTGATCCTTACATTTTTACTGGTAGTTTAGCAAACAGTGTGTGACCATGCACCCATGCTTTGAGAACCCCGCGGAGAAATTATTGTCAACAGGATGTATACATCGTGACTTGCAAGAAAAACGGAGAAGTAAATGAGAAACTAGAAGCGCCTTGTCTTTCGATCTGGTGCAGAGTATGGACTGTACATTTCATCAAATACCAACTGTCACACTCTTGATATTTAAATACTCGTCCAGCGCACCCTTTCCTCCTTCTCTTCCCATGCCACTATCCTTGATTCCCCCGAATGGTTGCTCGCATGCACTAATCAAACCCACTCTGCATCCTACCATACCGGATTCCAAAGCCTCACTGACGCGATACATCCTGCTGATGTCCTCCGTATAAAAGTATGATGCGAGACCCGCATCTACATTATTCGCCATGGCAACGGCCTCTTCCTCGGTTTCAAAAGGAACTAAAAACGCAAGCGGGCCAAATGTCTCTTCCTTCATGAACAACATATCTTTATTGGCATTTGTGACAATGGTTGGCGGGTAGAAATTCGGACCATACTGGGCCTGAAGTTTAGCAGGATCCTCGCCGATAAGCTCACCACCACGTTCGAGAGCGTCTTTGGTTTGCCTGGTGAGCTTATCGAAGGCCTTGGGGGAATAAAGTGGGCCAAAGTTAACGTTACGATCCCAGACAGAGCCGTAAGTGAACGTCTCCCCGAGACGTGTGTGGAGACGGGAAGCAAATTGGGATATTATAGAGGAATGAACAAAGATCCTGTTTGCGCAAACACAAGTTTGACCCGAGGAACGGAATTTCGAAGATATTAGCCCTATAGACGACGTTAGGTAAACTCTCACGGGAAATCCGCTGTTACGAGACCTATACTCACCATCGACAGCTTTATCGATATTTGCATCCTCGAAGATGATGAAGGGTGCATTGCCTCCAAGTTCCATACTCGTTTTCTTAAAGGTCTTGGAACATTCAGTGTGCAGGTATCTACCAACGGCTGTTGACCCTGTAAAGCTAAGGTGACGAATGAGTTTATTAGAGCATAATTCCGCTCCGACAGCCGGAGTAGTCTCAGGACTACTGGTAATAATATTCAGCACGCCCGGGGGTCCACCCGCACGTTCAAAGAGCTTCGCAACTGCAATGGCACAGAGGGGTGTCTCGGGAGCTGGCTTGCAAATGACAGTATTACCGGCAGCAATAGCAGCACCGACCTTCCTCGTCACCATAGCAATGGGAGAGTTCCATGGCGTGATAGCGGCGACGACGCCCTGGGGTTGCTTGATGGTGAAAATTCGATTATTTCCCCTTGCAGCGGGAATTGTCTCTCCGTAGACTCGCTCGATTTCGCCCTCAAACCAGTCCAAGAAATCTGTGCCGTACTTTACTGTAACCAGGGATTCCGTAAATGGCTTCCCCAGCTCCAATGTACAGATGGCGGCAAGATCATCCTTGTTTTCCTTGATCAGGTCTGCCCATCGGCGCATGAGCCATCTCCGTTCGCGGTGGGGAGCGTTCTTGAAGGTCTTAAAGGCTTCGGAGGCGGCATCGATCGCAGCACACACATCGTCGACATCAAGATCGGTAACTTGGCAAACCTCCTTGTTGTCCTCGGGGTCTGCGATTAGCTTGATTAGCACTATGACCTGGTTTTCTTCTCAATCGATGGGCACTGACCAAAGACTGGGAATGTTTTTCCGCTCCTAGCCTCGACCCATTTTCCTCCGATGAGGGACCGGGTGTCGAGAAGGGAGGGATCTTTAAACTAAGGGTGAAGATACAACAGTCTCAGGTAAGATCTCTGAGCGAATTGAATGTCAGAGCATCGGCGGAACTCACAGTGTAGGGAATCTTCTTGAGCAAACGGTCAGCCATGACTATATCTAGAAAAACGGCAATAAACATGCGAAACACAAAAAGGATTGGACGCACATCTATCGGAAACTGCAGTTACATGCTCGGCAAATATATCTCGATATCTCTGGAGGAATTATCTCCGGTTCCTCTCGAGCTCCCCGCAGTATCGACTCGAATGGTATTTGGATAAGACTAGTCTCGGCCCCGCATGGCGACAACCCTCAGCGAGGCCGGACGGGGGAAAAGGTTCCGCCTGCCGTGCGGTGAACCAACTGGATCTACTCCGTGGTCCGGGAGTGAACTCCTCCGCAGCAACCAAACTGTGCGTCCGGCGACGGAGTTCAGGCCATCACCAAGGGACGGGCTCGAATGACCTTACGGCTCAAGGCTATCCAGACTATGTCACTGATTAGGGTTACCTCCAGTTGCGTCGTCTACAGGAAAATTGGCTCCCACAAAAAAAAAAAAAAAAAAAAAAAAAAGGAAAAAGGGGATGCTCTTGACTTTCGCACACACTTTGGATTTGCCGAGACCGCTACAGTGCTCATCTCTTTACCTGAGGTGACTGCGTTGCTTGCACGGTATTTAAGGGTTATTGAATGACAAGTTGAGGGACCCGGGGGCACTCCTCGTGTCATTGAAACAGCTCCCTTGGGGTTCCAAAACTACGGCAACGCCCTGTCGGAGTTGTCGTTAAGTGCGACGAGAACATTGCTGTCAAAGCCAACACGGGGAAACAAAGATTCCACAGAGTACACAAACGTGCAATTCCTTGCAGAGCAGGCGCCTGCGGTCCCTGCTCCAAGACCCCGTGGGTTAACCATATTTGGCCCTTTTCGCGTAGTATTCATGTTATACATTCCAGGCATGGCATCGACTGGGGCGTAGCCTAGCCTGTCGTGTGATGACAGTAGGATAATGGCAATGCACTTGGGGAATTCTGTGAGGAAGGGGTCAAGGAGCTTCGCCTTGATGCGTGCGGCCCGTTCAAAGGCATCACCACAGCCATGGAGTCCAGAGTGTGGCTCATAAGCAAAAGAATCAACAGAGGCGTACTTTATATGGAGTACGAACAATCCTCACCGGGAGCCTGAAAGTAGGTGCCTATATACAAGGAGTCGCAATTTTCACACCTAGCAGCCCTGGGAGATAAATCTTGCTGCTTGCCCGTTTTAAGCACGGGTCGGAAAGTGTAATTATGAAGAGGTTGATATCATAGGAAATAGTTGCCTCCTGACTACTCCGTATACTTGATAGTTTTCCATTCTAGACAGTCTCTGATTTCACGTTGAAGGGGAAATTTTCACTTTCCAGGTATACTTGCAGCATGAGATGAATTCCCCAAAGTCGATCAAGCAGCCAATACACAGGAAATTGTAATAGATGATTTGCGGCAAATACAGCCACCAGGCATAACGTACGTGTCAGAACAATGCATTCATCGTACTCGGGATAAAAGGTGCCAAGCTCCCAGTCAATAATCCCGATAACGGTATAGTGATCACTGACATTGTCCTGCTCACAATGTTGTCTGTCCTGACACCACCATAAGTGACACTGTTTCATGCAGCAAACCGGATTTATGATGTTCAAGAGGAGAGAGAAGAGTTTGGCGTATGTGATGCTGCTCTAATGACGGTTTAGAAATTGTAAGTCGGTGGGTTGGGTTGATAAATGTGAGCAGTGGGGATACAGAGAAGTTGACTAGCTTAACTCTTCTCCGTACCCCGACGGAGAGTCACGGCCCGCCTACATCGACGTTGGATTCTCGTGCTTGGGACTGCTTTCTCTGTTGACCGAACTTAACTAATTGGTGTGATAGACTATGTATTTCGGACTGTAAGATGTTCTCCAAAGAAGGACGACTCCTTTCCTGTCCAACCTCAGCTTCGACAGATTGATACAATCCAAATATGGCGGGCTCATCGAATGTTGCCGGCTTATCCTTACCAGCCCCGGTAGAAAACCAAGCAGTTGTCTCGCTTTCGCTGCTCTCCGGCGGCTACCTTCACCTCCCAGGAAATCTCTTCGTCGAGGGAGCCAGTGCAGAAGAAATTCTAGTATGCCCTTCCATGTCATGGCTGATAACGCACCGTCCAACAAACACCAAAATAATTTTCGACCTGGGTTTACGAAGGGACATTCAAAACTATACCCCAAGCGTCTATGAACGATTAAAAACCGTTGTCCCGGTCGTTGTCAAGGAAGACGCATTCGACAGTCTCGCCAAAGCGGGTGTCGACCCAGCCACCGACGTTGACATTGTGATGTTCTCCCATCTTCACTACGACCATATCGGTGACCCATCACGGTTCGGGCCTAAAACGAAATTCGTTATCGGCCCTGGGGCAGGTAACCTTCTCCGTGGTCCAAAATCCTATCCCGATGATCCACACTCGCATTTCGATTCGAGACTGTTTCCACCAGATCAGGTTGTTGAATTACCCTCTCCTTCTTCGACGGCAGGTGCAAGTAATCAGTTCTGGAAACCCCTAGGTCCATTCTCCGCGGCTAGGGACTGCTTCGGTGACGCGTCCATGTTTATAATCGACTCTCCAGGCCATCTGACCGGCCACATCAACCTCCTAGTTCGCGTTCAACCGGATAAATGGATGTATCTTGCCGGTGATACTGCTCACGATGTCCGCATTCTGGAGGGAACCCATAATTTTGCCGTATATCCCGACCCCCATACCGGACGTCCCAAATGCGCGCATGCAGATAAAGCTGCTGCTGGAGCGCATGTAGGACGGGTAAGAAAGCTCAAGCATATGGGAGATGTAGAAGTGGTTCTCGCCCATGATGCAGCTTGGTTTGACGAAAACAAGCATCGGTTCAGCGTGGCCGGGCCCTGATAGGATTGTTCCTAGTGAAGAATTCATGTCTAAGCTCTTGTCTCTTGTCTCTTGTTTTGCTGTTCGCCCTCTTGTAGCTTGATGGACCATATATGTTGTATTATATAAGTGTTTTAAGAAGGCCCTGAGGCCGAAATCGGCTAAGAAGCAAACTCAGCAATAATGCTTCATCATCATCTTCTTCTTCTTTTTTTTTTTTTTTTTTTTTTTTTTTTTAACAGCATCGCATTGCGATCTATCGTGCTTAGAACCATTGTATGGGTATTTTTCAGTCATGGCATTTGAGCCCTGATTCCACAGCACTTGTTAGCCGGCTTTGCTATGAGGTTGTAAATCACGCATAGGTGCATATGATGTGTGAGCACACATGCCTGTCCTCTGTATATCTCGCAACTTCTTTCAAGTCACAACTACATGTGACGAGCGAATGACTGCATGAACGTTGCCTGGGTGCCTGTCGTTGTGTGACTCTGATTCGACATTTGATCCCATCATGCAAGATGGCGAAAACAACACAGTCTTACGGCGAGGAGACTAGAGTGTGGCTGAAGCAAGTTGGACTTCCCTTTGGAGAATGTGGTCCAATCATGACCACCAGCCATGCCAGGGATAGTTAACACACGACAGCAAGCCCCTTCGCATCGCAAGAAATTTGGCAGAAGCATCCACACATCCTTGACAGTTTCCATTAATTCCCTGGCTAAGAGACAGAGAGTTTGCTGCAGTCAGCCAGCACCACACATAACTAATTTGTTTGGCTGCTGTCATCCACACGAACAAAACCTCAAAACTCCGACTACCCCTGAACGAGGCTGAAAAAGCTATATGTGATTGCCACAAAGCTCCGAGGCTGTCTGTCGGAAATTTGTGCATAGTTATCATACGGCTGTGCTTTGCCTCAATGAAAAATTGGCAGACCCGAATAGAGCAGAAGTCAAAGTCGATATCCCAGCAAACATTTGACGGCGAAAAGAAAGGTAACAATTGGGAATTTAGCCGAACTAGCAAGGCAGAAATCTATTGTCCCAGCTCATATGCCCGGAGGCAGCAGTTGGCCGCATTCCGTTATTGAGAAAACCTACGGACCATCCTAAATGCACTTGAAAGCCCCAGCCAACAGAATACGTCGGAGCAAGCAGGAGAATTAACACTTGATACCAATGACTTCTCTCCGCGGGGCTTAGATCTCTTTTTAACATCACCGTCAAGATAATACTTGAACCGAAGCCTCACGCTATTTCTCAAAGAGATATACCCGAGTGTTTTCTGATGATGTCCAACCTCGCGGCGTAGAACCGAGTCGCAAACTGGTCACATGGCTCTTAACCGGGGATAAAGACACACCCCATTAGCCACTGAGAGCGCAGTATTGTTTGGGTTGTGAAGACATATTACATCCACACAATCCCGGAACTGCGTATTTATACCTGGGACTTCGTTGAGGGCACCACAGAGACTTTCAGCACAGCCCAGAAGAGAGCATGAGACCGGATTGTGCCACTGCGGCACTGTCAGCCAGTTTTGGCATTTCATAAAGACTGAGAGAGTCGGATTGCCAGCTCACTGCTGTTTCTATGCCGTGGTGTTTGGCTGAGATAGCTGCATTGTGGAGGATCATCTCACAGAAAGAGTGGTCATTGGTGTCTCTGCCCTTTGGATCATTCAGTATTTAGTGGCATCAGCTAGACCTTGGATTGGTGAAATTTCAAAGCTGATTCCATCGATCCTGATTGATAACAACTATGCTAGGAGGAGGATGCTAAAACTGACGCTGTGTTCTAGGAGCGTATAAGCATCTGAACATTGCAAATGCTTCAATCCCCCGCAAGGCAGGAGTTTTTCATGCGCTCCAGAGCCATTCTTTTTGAAGCCTGACAAGCTTTCAAACCATTCAGCCGTACTATTGCAAGCACCACAAACATATCTATCCAACCAACCAACACCTTAAGGTAAGTGCACTTACTATTCTGGACGTGAAGGTTAACTGATGTTTGTATAGTTATCCACCATGTGTCTAATTGTCTTTGCGAGATGCTTCATTTGCAGGTGCAAGTATTGCACAGGCCAAATTCGACGTTGTTCCTTGTACTGGAGGGGCTGCACAATTTCTGGGGAGTACCTTGCAAAATGGACTGGATTATGTGAAGGTTGCTCCGGCAGGAGGAAGAGCTATCGATATTGTTGTCCTGCTAATCATGGGATCAAGTATGACCATGTGAAGCTTCCAACTTTCGGTGCTCTTTGAATGGTTTTATCATGTTGAAGGAGACAACTGAGAGGTAAATAGTGTTGTGGGAGTCAGATAATGAAGCAAGCCCCCATATGTGTATGTAGAGCCAACACAACTACTGTTTAACTACCTTTTTTTCTTTTTTTTTTTTTTTTTTTTTTTGGCAATGTTGACCAATACAGTTTCATATCAGTTAGCTATCTCTACATATTTGTACAACCAAAAAATTTCATTTCTCATCGACGACTTGTCAACTTAATTCGTGCTGGGTATTCGGATGGCATTTCCATCTCGTTTGCGATGACGGGTGTAGTTAAAGCTAACCTTGTTTTGGTTAGACTGGATGACCTCCGAACTGAAATCGTCCCTGATTGGACGAAACCTCGATCGCGGGCTGAGTCAGCAACCCACACTCGCTAAGCCCGCGATCTTTTCAATTCCTCAACCTCCTCCGGTCAGCTCCTTTCAACGAACGAAGCTCGTGGACCTCATCTTCTCGCCCAGCTAGCTTTCATCGACAGCTTCGACAAGCCAAAATACAACTTATTCGAAATGGCCAAGGCAAAGAAGACCGGCGATACGTACGGAATATCGAGCAATCCCTGCGCAAATGGAACTTCGTGCTAACCGGTTCACAGCCTCGCCTCCCGTCTTGCCCTTGTTATGAAATCCGGCAAAGGTTAGTGGCCCTTTTTTGGCGTCGAAAGAGACGCTCACGCGAAGAAAGAAATGCGGTGTTGACAGTTCAATTTTTTTTTAGTCACTCTCGGAACTAAGAGCACCCTCAAGACCCTCCGCTCTGGCAAGGCTAAACTGATTCTCATCGCTGCCAACTGCCCTCCTCTCCGCAAGTCCGAGCTCGAATATGTACGTGCTTTACCTCTGACCCTATGCTGCGTATTTTCCTGCGATGGTTGCTAACATGAGTAAAGATGGCCATGCTTGCCAAATGCCCCGTCCACCACTTCGGCGGAAACAATGTGAGTTACCCCGTCTCTGATTTTTATGCTCCGAGAAGAAGTCGCGTGAAGTGACTTCGGAGAGCGAGGTCGCTCAACGAAGGCATCTTCTCTCGGGGGATGCTGGAGAGCAAGGTGAATTAACAACTCATACTGCAGATCGAACTTGGAACTGCTTGCGGTAAACTCTACCGTTGCTCCGTCTTGGTAAGTTCGAAAACTGCACTGATCCCCGTTACGTCGCCATACTTCTTGTGCAGCGATAGTTCCTTCAAAAAAAAAAAAAAAAAAAAAAAAAAAAAAAATCAACGAAGGGCTGACTCTGAAACTTCACACATTAGACCATCCTCGATGCCGGTGACAGTGATATCTTGAGCCGTGAGGCATAAACTTGCCCATAAAAATTGTTGTATTTACAACTGCGAGAAGATGACTCCGATGGTCCTGATGCCTAATCAGAGCACCATGTTGTAAACAGCGTTGATCCCCGCGTGAAAAGCTCTGTCTTTGCTCCGGGCGCCACGAGAGTGGGCGGCCTCGTCGAGGGGCGACACGCAGTTTTGCAATGAGCTATTAGTTTATGTAGCAAACTTCCGTCCAAGCAATGAAGGCTACATATTCCATTGAAGTCCCTGTCCATTTATCTTGATTGCGGCCACTGAACGCGGGCGTGGCTTATAATATCTGAACGTCCTTGTTTACGGAATACAAATTCAAGTATCTCTCTGACTTAGCTGTTCACCACATACTCCGCACTCCATTACCCAACTCCTTAACCCAATTCCGACGGAGATAAGCGGGATTCCCTCCCATTAAAGCAGTCATGACCCGTATTGTACTTTTAGGCCGGACATCGGCGCAGTTCGCAATTGCCGTGGTCCGTCGTGCTCAAGTTTGTATTGCCCAAAAGTCAACAGAGTGCTCAGTAGACCGCGGTCCTTTTTTTTTTTTTTTTTTTTTTTCTTTTATTTCAGGGATCCTTTGGGCCGCGAAATTCTGTCCATGAAGGCCTCTTTGCACTCGCGGCGACGCAACGAGCCACCGCGAATGGTTTGCCCCGGAGCCCAATGCTGCCCGCGCTTTGAGAAACGAACTTAATGTTGCGTAGAACCGAGCATGCGGCCTGCGGACGCGGCGTACAGTTTGGGAATGCAAAAGTCCCCCCGAAGGCATGTGCATACATTGAGCCTTACGAGCTGGATCCCGGGCATCTCGGACCGAAGAGATCTTCCCTTGATGTAAGTATTGATATCCGTTTGGGAACAAGCTCCACATCAGCCACAGATAGAGCGTAACATGTTAGGACCACCCGGCTGCATACAGGCAAGAGCAGTGTGATTGGGAGCCGAAGAGCCAGGTGACAGACTCCCGGAAATTTTCTCTCAGAATCCGCGAGGAAAATGCAAAAGGCGTAGAGCTTGGCAGCTGGTGTGGTCTGGACTTCAATCGGGGATAAACGACATGAGATGACCTGTCACATTTTCTCGACCTTTGAGATGCAGGCATCATACATCCTGTACATGTCTTGTCAAAGGGCTCGATCTCGTAGCTGCAATCTTAAGTCATGATTGTGAACTTTGTGCCAGAATGCGATTCAAAACAATGTGAAAACCATATTACTCTGAAAGTAGTTAGTTGGTCTACACCATTTATCCCGCACGGATGGAATAACTTTTCTTTGGACGATGGGGTTCCTTTCATCTGCGCATGAGCCAGATGCACCCTGCTTCTGCTGGCCACCAGAAGAACGCCGTCCAACAAAGAACGACAAATGCGCTTCGGGGCTCATTGTATGTTGCATGGTCTCTTATCCCTGGGAACATTTGAGCCACCGTGCCATCGGCGTGCATACCTGGGATATGCGAATGCACCGTCACACCCGCTCTTGTTTTGTGTGGAGACGATACGGCAAACGTCTTCCAGAAAAAGCAATTTTCAAGTATTTGGCCAGCCATATTGTCGAGTGGAGGCGTCTCTCGCTCGACATCATGGCCACAGCGAACATCGGTAAAAGGGTGCCCTAAAACTCCAACGAAAAACAACCAAGACATGCCGGATCGAGCCATAGTGTCGGAAGCCAGATGGTTCGAATATGCTTCAGGATCAGACCTGTTTGCTTCTCATCCGCACACAATGTTTGAGATACCAAGTTTGGTGCTGGACCAATGGCAACACACCGCAAAATGCCTTACAATAGCTCAAACTAATTTTCGGACCAGCGGGAACATGACGAAAAGGTCTGTGCTACCAACAAGTATCCTTCGCCACTTGGTATTTGTCGCTTCATCGGGGGGACCGTAATGGATGAAGACCATCACAAGCAAATTCGCTCGTCATTTTACAATGAAAGGTGCATAACATTCCAAAGGTGCAATAGAGTCCCAGCGGATGGCTTAGAGTTTTCCCGCGGTATGGTAGAGTCAACCCCCCCCATTTTCTTTCTTTCTTTTTTGTTTAAGAACCAAAAAAAAAAAAAAAAAAGAAAAGAAAAAAGAAAAATCTTGCAGGGTGTTCGAGTCCCTGCAGCACGTTAAAACGAATTGTAACCTCACCCACTAGCAGACCTAGATGCACTGTCACCATCAAACTCCGACTGTTGCTTTCGAGAAATGCCTAGCACGAGATAATTCCGTAAAATAACATAAACTGCACACAATCCAAATTAAGAAAAATCCAGTGTCACAGGCCCTCGAACGACGCCCAGCCCATAGAGTTCCGGTTACTTCGGAGATAAGGCGAAGCCGCTTTCAGTCCCTATGTAATAGTTATTGAAGTTGAGAAAAGAGATAGGAATGCCAATGCAAGCAGTAGTGGGATCCAATTCAGGCAGGTTCCGTTGCACCATCTCCCGAGGAATCGCGCGGATGTATGCATCTTCATCGTGGCCAGAGGAGGGCTCTGTCGGCTTTTGTCATTTGAAAATATAACAATACTGGAGGCTTAGACCTCGGGTTGGTCTGCGCAACGTTGAAACCTGAATCCCCACACACTCAACGTGGGAGAAACCCGGATTGCTCGATTCGGCGACTCAGTTTGTTCCTGTGGTTGTTATTGTGACCTCGGAGGTGGTAGGCAGGAAAAGGATCCGAATGTCTTTTTTGGAAAACCTCGTATCTGAAGACTTTCGATGCCGAGAGCGGCGAGAACCCGCTGGCCTGACAGGGATCTCGATCAAGCACGCGGAATGCAAAGAATAGCATTCGACGCCGGAATCAGAAAATTCGCGACAGCTCTTCCGGATTCTGCATGAAAGCTCCTCATTCTTAAATTTGTTCTTGTTTGTTTTTTTTATTTTTTTCCCTGACGGAGTGAGTTTGGTTGGTTGGATGGAGTCGCACAGGATGTGCCGCATGCATGGTCGCCATGCACATAACACCAGCGGCGAGTGGACAGCAGTCGAGGACCAGAGAAGCAAGCGACAACAAATGGAACCGAGAGGAAGAAATGGGACAGAGGGGATTGTGAGATGCAGATGGAGGGGGGAATCGAGTGCGTTCTGGGATTGGTGATGCACGTGAATGCAAGGGGCGGGTTGAAATTCCCGTCCCTCGGCGAGCAGTTGCTGCTGAACACGCTGTTTCCGCCGCGAGGGGCAGAGAGGCTTACGAAGGCATTGTTTCTGCCCATGCAAAAACACGTCACTGGGCAGGCCTGGGGGAGAAAGTACGGAGTCGGGTGTTACGAATCTTGAGAAAAAATGCCCCTTCCCCTCTCCTTTCCAGATTCCCATACAAACAAAAGCCCCCGCCCCGCGCTTCTAAATATAACCCGCTGATGCAGCTCATTTCTTTTTCTCTCGAAGCTTCTTCATTCGCTTCCAGAACAGTTCTTGTTTCTAGTGGATGTTTTTTTTTTTTTTTTAGTACGGAGTACGGAGTAGTTGCGACGGATATGGATTGGGGGAGAAAGCGCGGTTGGGAAGGAAACAAGGAGCAAGTATGGAGAAAAGGAGGGAAGGAGAGAGGGAGTGCTTGACGTCACTGGCCAGCAGGCGGCATGTGGGCCGCGCTTGAGACGACGACGGCGTGTTTCAGCTTGAGGGTTGGCCCCGTTTGAGGTTCCCTGGGCGCCGGCAAGGGGGGCGGTCTCCACACCCACAAACCCACAAACCCACAACACTCCCACACACACACTCACACTCACGCTCACGCTCAACTCAACTCCCTCGCACGCACCCACTCGACAGCCGCCGCCGCCATCAGGGTCGTGCAAACACAACCCACCCCCCAAGTCCAAGCTCAAGGGGTTGGATGTCATGGGAGTCGCCCTCTCTAGGGACCCAAGCACTTTGCGCCCGCCCCCTCTCCCCCCCCGTACCGCACTTTTGCCACCGGTCTCAGAGTGTAGGAGGAAAATACGTCGACACACTATCGGTGGCTGGTCTTTGGGCAAAGGGACAACACAAGGTCTCTCTCTCCCCATCCTCTTTTGTTGCCCCCGGGAAAGGGAAACAAAAAAAAAGAAAAAAAAAAAAAAAAAAAAAAAAATCACCAACCAAAAAGCTGGTTCACCGATGAACACTGAGCACCCGCTGGAAACATTGCGCGTCCAGGGGCCAGCTTGGTGGAGATGCTCGTCTTGGCTGTGTGATCGTATCTGGCTCTCAGGCCCGTTGAAACTCAGCCCCCGGGGCCGTCTTCTGATTGGAAAATTTTCTTTTTAAACTCTCCCATACTCCGTACTCCGTACGGAGTACTTTTGCCTTGTCATCAAGCGGCAACCATTTTCAACACGGAATAATCATGCCCCTGGCCTTTGGGGAAAGTGTATACTCCGGAGGATGTTAGGCATTGCATATGTAACCCTCACCTCTTTTTTTTTTCTTTCTTTCGTCTGTGGAGGGCAAGGATGGTGGATAGCCTGCCGAGCCGTGGGGAGAGACAGCCTTAAAAGCCCTATAATCGACAACGTACGTAGAAGAGCATCGTTCGGCAGTCGCGTTTGCAAGGTGCCAAATGTTAAAAAAATGTGTGCATGCTCCGGCCCAAGCACATATCATCACGCACGTCCTTCATAGCATTTTGTCACGATCTATCTGATTTGGCCTTTTTTTCCTTTTTTTTTTTGGGGGGGAGAGGAAAGGGACCCAGGTCTAACTGTAGGTGGATTAGGCTGTAAGCCCTAAGGCGGGATTGGGGAAGGCAAAGGCATGTCCAAAAGCGGTAAAATCGCATGCCTCTGATTCGGCGATGTGGAAAATTACAGTGAGGAAATGCTACATGTTATATCCGTTAAAGCGCGCAGATCGCGGGTCTTCAGTATAATCTCGACGGAATATTCTCCGATTCCGGAGTACCGCCCCCCCCCAGCGTGATCAGGCTGGCTCCGTCAGCAATATTTGGATTCTATGGGTTCTTGGCCCTGGGTTTCTGGGGAACCTAAAACAGATGTTTCCTGGATTTCACCGCGCTGGTTGATGATGCTCCAAAGGTTCAAGGGGATCCACCGCCAGCGAACGTCCTTACATACATATACAGGTATGGACCATGTAAACCTTAGCGCGGCGTCTCGACAAGCCGTAACTTTCTTTGTTGGGTGCAATGGTATTACCATGGATTGTAAGTAACAAAATCTAAAATACAATTCCAACCCAGATTTCCAGCAAGGAAAAAAAAGGAGTGTCGCGGGCCCTGACCTGTTTTCCGGCCTCTGTTTCATCTTGTTGCTGCCCCATGCCCTGTTTGAACTCGCGCTCTGAAGAAACGGGGAAGGGCAGATGATCTGGCGATCAAGGAACAGGAAAAACGTGGGTTAGGATGTTGTCCGGCTCGACAGGGTCGGTGACGATCTGCCGATATCGATTTGCTTATCATGCAGCTGGCAAACCCCAAGCTTCGAACCCGGTCCCCGATAATTGTGGGGGACCAGCCGACCAAGACTTGCATTCACAACAGACCAGGCTAGTGAGATTCCCCGATGCTGTGTGAAGTCACCTTTCTCAGAGCAGCTTTCCCCGTTGAGAAAAGTGTAGATGTCCAGCACGGCCTGGGATTTCATCGCAGATGGTCAGTTTGCAGTCAGAATCCAAACTACTGGGAACTATTCGCGATCTATTTGAGTGATCTTCGATCGTGGCGTCTCCCCCTGGGAGCACCGTTGCTGGCCCTGGAAGATCACACGAACCCTCACCTTTCTGCAAGCTGCTCTATCCGGAGAGGAGTTTGATTCCCGGCGAGATTAACGTTTGTGGGCGGAACGACTGGAGCGTCAGGTTGCGATTGGCCTATCAGATATAGCACTTCCTGAGAATATCCAGGAAGAAAAAAAAAGAAAAAAATTGACCGTAATTCAGGAAAAACAAGATGGATTATTTTTCTTTTTGCTCTCCAACGCGCCAACTTACCGGATCGCTGGTTTCTTTTGCGAGGCCATCCCGGTGCCCTTAATTCGGGACGTACCTTGAAGCGGCAAAAGGTGATATCTTCGAGTCATGTCCGTGACGTGTGCAGACGCTACTCTCAGCCGCCAGGGGCAAAGTTGTCCTCGTGAACAAGCAACTTCCAGGCAAAAAAAAAAAAAAAAAGCCAACAAGGAAGCTGGCAAGGTCGGAAGCGGCAAGCATTGGAGAACCAAAAAAAAAAAAAAAAGAACTCCCCGAACAGCAAGTCGACCACAGCGAAACTGGAGACCAAACACGGGTCAGGACAGAAAGGGGAGTTCAGACGAATCATTCTACGAGGGTTTGCCTCAACTGGACCAGATGATGAAATGCAAGTTCCTTCAGGGGTTGGCCTCCCTTAAAGGGCCCCACTAGATACCGCCGCGCGGGATGTCAGACCACAACCGGACAAGCTTATTGGGCGACTGGACGGCGCCCAGCCTCTTGGATGCTCTACCAGGGTGGGTTTGCTGTGGGGTTGCGAAGGCGCCTCAACTTTTTTAATGAAGCTTACGCGTCTGCTTAACTGCTTTCGGGCAAGGAGCGCAGGATGACAGACCTCCCCACCTGCATCTTGCTATTATCTAATCAATCACCGCCCTTCCCCGCATTCAACGATCTCGCGTCATGCAAGTGGTCATGGGCTTTGCGGGAATTACTCCTTCGGAGCCCTTTCTCTCTTCTCCTTTGCTCTCCCGAAAAGGCCTTTCTCACGAGGTCCCCTCCCCGAGTCTCTGCAGGTGGCGCCGCCAGGCTTGACGATTGCCGGCAGCTGTTGTCGGCAAGCTGGAAAGATATGCCTTTTATCGGAGTCCCCCGTACGGACAAGGAGGCATCCAAGCTTCACATCCTTGGTTTGTCGCACTTCTTTCATCTCGGTACCGGCTGGCGACTCGTCAGCATCAGTAAGGTATGTACCTCCTGCTTCGTCAAGTGCCCATTGCTGCGTCACTGGGGCTTACTTTGTCGTGGCGGTATACAGCCACTAAGGGATCATTATTGGTTTCAGACCTCAATGGTTCACAATATCGCCGGAATCCCGGTTCCAAAGGTTGGCCCACATGTATAGCCAATTTCAAGTCACAAGAACGGTAGGTTTTTTTTTTTTTTTTTTTTTTTTTTTTTTTTTTTATATTGTGAACGGATAGCTCTGGGCTCTGCCTGGCCATACATTGTCTCTCTCGATGAGCTTAAGAAGGAGAGGAGGAGCAGGGGATCGCGTTGAACCTTTGGGGGATGGTATTCTTTCGCCCACCGGACCGGAAATTCCTTGCTTTTTTATTGAAACTCACTCAATCACGGAGTATCCGCCGCGCCAGTTTTAGAGTTAAGCGCCCCTGCGGCCGCTTTGGTCGACGTCGATCTTGCATTCAGCCCGTACCATTGGAGACCGTTTGGTGGGACTGAAACGCGACTTTTGGGGAAAGATGTTTGAGGGAAGCCGTCCCCAAAAGTCGTTTTGACTTCTTTGTTCCTGACAGACGACTGCATCGCCTGCATCTTCCCGCTTCATGCCCGACATTTCTTTATGGCTTGATAGGCATAGCTCGCAGCTTTCATGCTCCGACAGGCGGTCGTGAATTGAAGCCGCAAAGTTGGCCAAACACAACCCCCCGGGGGACAGCGACAACTAATGCCCTGGAGTGAGCTCAAGGTGCATCATGCAATTATCACGTGAAGCCCAATAGAATCATCTTGCAAACTAATCTCACCTTGATATTTTGCCAACCTACCATTCGCTGTGACTCCCGTATTCTTCGGCGGAGAGACGGGGAGCTGCGGAGGATAGAGGTTCAAGGTATGCGTTAGCTCCGATATCAATTGGTATGGAAGCTTTTGCCAAGGCTCTTTGACCTGTGACCGATTTCCTCAGCCAAGACCTGAGTGGACTCTCAGGATGTGCACTATCCTGACGCTAATGGCGCCCATTCCGTCGCACTGCAAATCCGGCGGTTCCTTGGCGCATTCCGCCCATTTCCAAACCTTGGTTTGGGCCAAAGGGCGGCTCACACGGCGTATCTCAAAGTTTTCGGCGCCACTAGTCAATGATTTGGGTTATGTTTCCTTTCCTGTCGGAGCAATGCCAACTTGAATTGCTTTTTGCTGCCCAACATGTACGGCGCGCCGACAGCTCAAGAGGCTGGCATGGTGGCGACAGGGGGGGGAAAAGGAAAGGAAAAAAAAGGAAACCATCTCATCTGGAATTTTTTTTTTTTTTTCTGTGCTAGGCGTGAAAAATAACCGTGCGTCAGCCTGGCTGAAATACACGTTTCGCAGAAGTTCCTTGTTTACCACATACAGCACGTACAGCACGTACAAAATCTTATTCCCACCGCTTCTCCGCCAGAGATTCGAAACTGTTGGGCAAGACCCGGCGGAAAGAGGGCGCGTTGTCCCTCCCCGAAGCCGTCTCGGGAGAGATACATCCACAGAGGACTGACCCCCACGCTTCTGTCCTTGGATGCTGGCTGAGCATAACGCTTGTACTCGTGCCAAGTCAGCATTGTGAGTTAAGCGGTATCCACTCTTGATCACCCATGTCAAATCTAAGTTGCCGGGATACCCTTGTTTGTGATCTGAGGCCTGTGAGTCCCTGCGAACCTTGATTTCTTGAAGGTTTTTGGTCAGAGACACTTGAGATGTTTGTATTGTTATGGTTGCCGAGCTCAATGCTCTTGGACGGACAATGTTTTTATGTGTTCGAGTCGTTTCCATACACACCTACTCCGTACTCCGTCCATACTTTAATTTTTATTTTACTTTTTTGTAGCATTGCGACAGGAGCACTGCCAACTGCTTGGAACGAGGTGTTCCCCATTCCTGCGATTGGTTCTTCTCGACCAAGGCGCAAGTCTGGATGCATCTGACAAATCCAGATTGCTTGATTCTCCTTTCGGTGGGAGCAATTGTGACTGATCACATCAGCTATCGAAGCCAATCAGATAAGCTTAAATGGATTAACCACTAGTGGCACTTTTTGGAACTTTGAATCCAAGCAGCGCCGGTGCGGTTGCAATAATTTCGACTCAGTTTTAGCCCAACCTGAAATAGCGCGAATGACAACGCTTGACCGTGCTTATCGAGGCGATATAGGGGAAAAGAAATGGAAAGGAGCTTCTCAGCACCTCATCCATGTTGCATGTAGATGTTTGCAAGGCTATATCTTCGTCACTTTATCTCCGCAGGGCTCATGAAGAGGGAGAAATGAACTCGTCATCAGCGAAAGTCGTCCCCTCCAGCTAGCCAAGTTATGTATTCTTGTTTCCCGTCTGGAGAACTCAGGCGTGCTGGATTGTTGGTCCTTTTGCAATGGCCTTGGCTCGGATTCTTTGCATCCATAGCCAATAATAAATAAGCCTTGTGCATTGAAAGCATCCCTGCGTCCAAAGGTTTGTTACACGGAGGGGGTTATTGATCTTGGTTGATAACTGTGATAATATGGAATGGGTCATGTTCTCGAATCGAAGCTGATAAAATATCGATCTCTTCAATCAGGTTTCGATGCGCGAAGTGGAAAAGCACGGGGAGGGGAAGAAGGGAGGGGTCCCGTATGGGTTAAAATCTGATCCCTGATAGGAAAAACTAGCAAGACGTATGTACGGGCTGGGAGTATGTAGGTATATAACTATACTACGACCGAAAGAGGATACTACAGAGTGGGAAAAAAAAAAAAAAAAAGAGGGCGAGAGCAGAGAGCGCACGACGAATACTTGCTCCCAACCCCTCTTCGTATACGTCCATACCGCAGACGGAGAACCTTCACCCAAAACATCTCAGAAAACCCTCCACACAGCAACCATGGCTCGCCAGTTATCTCTTCCAGACAAAAAAATTTCTAGGACGGAATGACTTATATATGCACTATGCCATTCTTGGGGGCACAGGATGCAAGTGATGGAAGGGCCCACACCCTTAAGAAACCCGAACTCTAAAGGTTTACCCCTGTCGAGCCAATGGACGCTAATGTGCGCCCCTCGACGCATCTTCTGTCAGTGGCGCCCGTTGAGAGGGAATAGGTAAAAAAAAAAAAGAAAAAGTACTCCGTACAAAGGGTCAAGAACAAAAGTACCCCTTTCAAAAGAGTTTTCGCCCACTGAGGATCTACATCACCTCCTCTGGGACAAGAACCTTGATGTTGGCGCGAACACAGAGAGGAAGTTGGAGAGGAAGAAGAGAGAGAGGTTACCAGAGTATCAAGACTGTATTTCTGGGTTACAGACGGAGCTAGGTAACTTAGAGTTACCTTTCTTTTTGCAACACCCGCAAAAGCCAATTCGTGTGAAATCCGCACTTCGGTCTTTTGCCTTTGCCCTTGTGCTTGCACCCTGTACGGAGTAGGTAACGATGAAATGCGTGCGTGTGTATTTTCTCGGTGTGGAGTAGCACTGAGATTTCGATCACATTTCAGCGTGCTGGACACCCTGGTAGATAATTCGACAATTTTGAGATGGGGAGGGATGGAAAAGAAGGTGTGCAAGGCTCGGCGCTGCTGAGCTGCGTAAGTTACCGGACGGGTATCTTACGGACAGCCTTGTTACAGCGTAAGTGTTCCGTACGGAAAGTAACTCACTTTTTTCCCTTGCATCCCATCGAAATCCAAAAAAGAGCAGTCGACAGCCTATTATCCCCATCGAAAGGGACAGGAAAAAAAAAAATAAAAAATAAAAAAAACCAGTCTCCATCACTCCAGGTTGCTCCACAATTTCGTAGCGGTATGTCCTTATTACATCCAGCCGACTCCCATCCATGAATCGTGCGCCTTTCTTTTATCATCGTTCCCCCTCTTGCCTTTCGCTATTGACTCCAGTCTAAATAGACGTTGCATCTTTGCTGACAGGCCGCGTTCTCCTGTTCTGCTTGTTCTTCCTGGTTCCCAGCTTGTTGTGGTCTTCCTTTTATTTTTTATTTTGCCTCCCCGGGTCCGATTCCCACCCCCCTTCCCATACATAAAACATTCGGCCCAGCCCGTCCATCGATACATACGTACTCATAATAATTATAATGCCATTTGCCTCCCCCATCACCATTTGAAACATTCTGTTTTGTATATTGAGCATCCGTGCCTGATAAACATACACATACCGCACGATCTTCCTTCGTTAATCACGTCGATCCGCCCATCATCGCGGATTTCAGCCTAGCAATCTCTTCCCTTTCTGTTCAACCACTTGCGATCCCATCTTTGCGCCTTTGTGTTGGTTCAATCTTCTCTTTGGGTGCTGTTAGCATTGCGGACTCTTGGGAATTTACGTTCACTGGTTCTTCGCCTAAGAAAAGTTCGTGGCTGTACATGGGCGCCAGCAGGGACGATTCCACTCCGAAAATTGAGAGCACGAGAGCAGCAGGTCAAAGCTGCTGCGCTGGGGTCGATCTGATCGTCGTCACGCCTTGAGCTGCTCACTGACTTTCCTGGTACCTGGGAGACAAGCGCACATTCATTCTCTAAAATAATCCCGACAGCTTTTTGGCTTTTTTTTTTTTTTATTATTATTATTTTCAAGTCTCCATACTCGCTCTTCTCGATGACGATGGTTATGGAGAGTGGAAGTCGCCAGTATGGCGGGCTCAGCTACGATAGTGTCTACCAGAATCATAGCCGCGCCAACCCACCACACTTTGGTGAAGGATGGCCTCCACACAGCACCTCGCACCCGCCAAGTTCCGTGTATCAGCCTGCTGTGGCGGCTAATCCAGTGAGCATGAAACGGGAGGACGCTTCAAGGCCTCCGGCGATTCCTGTCTCCTATGCAAACGGGCAGGTCTCTGCGCCGGCAATGGTTCACGGCGGAAACTACAATAGTGTGGGATATGGTGGCTCGGAACTCGTCGTACTACCCACAGAGCTTCCCCGGACCACCTTCGAGCAGTCACAGCCCTGCACGACTGCACCGCAGATGGCATCTTTCACACCTGCAAACTATTCGTCCCTGGAATACGCGCAGTCGCTGCATATGCACCAGCAGCAGCAACAACAACAGCACCAACATCAACCTCCCCACCACCAGCATCCGCCACCACCGCACCATGCAACGCACTTGGAGGCGCGGAGTGTGCATCAAGGGTTAGTCCTTTTCAGCAATTCTTCGTCACTCTTCTCGGATTCAAAACTCATTCGTACTGAAATAGGAACGAGACTTCTCCGCATGCGACACAGCCACCGCAAGTGACCTTCAGCGATGCCCTTGATGCGAGTCGAGGCATGGTTGCTTTGAGCCAGGACCTCACGCCTCGCGCTATCTATGGTCCTCGCAGCTCTCGTGGCTCCGTGGACTCATACGGCTTTCCATCAACACATTCATCTGCGTCATCCATTTCTTCAGCAAACAATTATCCATACTACAGTGCATCTGTTGTTTCCGTGGACTCTTCTGTCACAGATTACAGCTCTACAACTTCGGATTCCTATGACGGACTATCAAGGACGTTGCCCCGACCGTCTGGCCTTTTGGCTGGTGCTCTTCCTCCGCAGTCCATGATGGGCCAGTTCAGCTCCAAAGTGCCATCGAACACGCAGAAGAAGCACAAATGCAAAGTTTGCGACAAGCGATTCACTCGCCCGTCCTCACTGCAAACGCATATGTACAGTCACACAGGTGAAAAACGTAAGTTGATGCAGCAAATATCCATGCTGTATAACTTGAAAACTAACATTTGAGATTACAGCATATGCCTGCGAAGTTGAGGGTTGCGGAAGACATTTTTCAGTTGTATCGAACCTACGACGTCACAAAAAAGTGCACAAAAATGACAAAGAGTCTGGCTCGCCTGAGGAAGAGGCGTGATAAGACTTTTGCGTATTTGACATTTCCCAATGGCTTTTTGACGACATATAGAAAGCTTCGCATATAGCGATTCTTGATCCGCCCTATTTAGCGTCCGCCTCTTGACACTCCTACTTGCGATTTACGGTTTTCCGATTTGCGTTCGATTCCCGACTTTATGTCACTAATAACCTTGTACTATAGCCTTTTTTTTTTTTTTTTTTTTTTTGCCTTTTCTTTCGCCTATCCCCTTATTTTTCTTTCTTATACCCGATTTTGAGCAGTGATATAAGATTGCAGCACGTCTGATACCCGCCGTCGAGATACTGTTTCTTCCTCCCCCTTTTTTTCTTTTTCTCATATTTTAAGGAGGTATATATGGCAAAAACAGGCGGCACTGGATCAATTCCAGACACCATCTTACACACTGGCGGCCTTTTTTCTTCCTTTTCATGTCTCGGATAGAGTGCAACGCTTTCCTTTCTCTTCCACCCTATGGATTGGTATTGATGACCCCATTTGTTTTCACTCATGATATCCCATTGATTTATATGCCTATATACCCCCCTCGCTAGATCAGGGTCCATCGCTTTTTTACATGCCATTGAGCATGAGTGCACTTGGTTGGGTTTTGTCTCACTCGTTTTTCATCGTTGGCTCTTTTTGGTTCCTTCCAGTATCTGGATGGCTGCCTTTTTGCCAGATACCTCGGCGCTGGAAATATGTTGATTGGGGCTCGGATATGCTGATTGCTATTTTGGTTTTGTGCTGTTTTCATGAATAGGCTCGCTGTCGCTATAGGATCGGAGCTCGGTAGGCATATTGAAATACAGATGACCCTTGGATGAGAAGTTTCTCTTGATTTCTTGAGCCTTTACCTCCTCGATACTCCGTAGTTACTGTCGACTTTGTGCGGCAAGCATGGTAGTATAAGGCCCCGTTCTCTCTTTTTTTTTTTTTTCAATTTTTGATTGATTTTCATCTTATCCTTGATTTTTGCAAAGGCGAGCTTACTGTGCTACTTGCGTCATACTCTCCCCTCTGGTGCTGCTTTGGCGTATTCGTACCAGGTTAAGTCTCTTCCCCCTGTTTTGATGTTACGTACCCCAGTCGGTACCTGCGTTGCCTTTCGAGGGTCCTGATGTGGTTTTCCGAGATCGATGTACCACCACGCCTCGTAAACAAATCTTGACTCTCGAGATCAGGAGAAAACGAGCTCGCGGCGGTTTGGATGCCGGGGTGGTTGATAGGACAGTTTACGGTTTTCGTGTAGTTAAGCCGCGCGGTCAGCGCCAAGAATTTCCCGCTGTGTCAGAAGCTGCACGCTCCTTATTCCTGTCGCATGTGAGGAAGTAATGTCTCATCAGCGGGCAAAAAAAAAGGCCTCGCTCTGTGATCGTGTTTGATGTATGGAGTACGGAGTACTCCGTATACATACATGGAGGAGAAAAACACATCTCACGGGAACGAAGCAACCCATGTTCATGCTGATAAATCCTTTTGTGGGTGTCATGCACAGAGATCCTGCACGGTTACATATTTTGTTTTTCTTCGAGAGATGGCGCGTTCGGAAGCCCTCCCCCCTGACAATAACTCGGCACAAGCTGTTGGCTGGCGTGTCTTTTTCGGCGTCTGCATAACTATAAACAACCCGGTCGAGAGCTGCAGGTCATCAAATTTGCCCTGTGATCCATTGACAACGCGTTCAGCGCATGGGCGGATATTAGGACGATTTTTATGCTGTTGATTTGTGCCTGGCAATGCGGATTTTGCAGCCTTAATATTTATGGATAATTTCCGTCTGCAATTCTCCATAAAATGTTCTTTAATTCTGTAATATTTTTTTTTTCCTCCCCAAAGTGCCCTCCATGACGAAGCAGCAGGCTGCTACTCCGTAGTTAGCGACACTTGGAGCCTAACTACTAGCAGATGCTTTGTAAGCGGGCTGGAAGTGCTTCGGGCAGACCGCCAGACAGAGCCAAACCAAACCGATCCGCAGGAAATAAGCCAAAGAAAAAAAAAGGCAAGAGACCAGAGAAAACAAGCAGGAAATGCAGCAAGCATGCACCCAGACTGTCCTCTCAATCTGGAGGCCTTGAATAACTTGCACCGCGGCATGAATACCCCTCAAACCTCGGGATTTTGCAAACATCCCATCATGCCATTCGCTACCATCCTCGCCTATGAATCACCATGGCGAATGCCTTGTCCCAAGAAATGAAACTTGGTCGGATCTAGGGGCCCGTTTACACATCCTTTCTGGGCATTCATAATTGCACAAAATCGCCCAGCCGCCGGTACATATGATCCCACTAATTCTATGATCCTACTGCTAGCACTGCAGAAATCATCGACATGATAAACTTTTAAGCCTTACTGGCTCGTCCTCTGAAGGCTTTTAATGGTCTGAATGCTTTCAAATCAGCAAAGAAGTGCAACTCGGGGCCTGCACGTCGAATCACATGGCTCTTCCCCGGATTCCCCGACGGATTTTAGTTTTTACGCCTCCGGGACGCGGGGAAGTGCGGGTGGGGCGAAATCCGGGTTTCTATTGGCCAACGAGCGCTACGTAGTTATTCATTGGCCTTTCTCGGCTTTTCTCACAACGTTGAGATAAACCACTGTTCACGCCTCCTCTTCCAAGGCCTCGAGTAACGGGGGCTGCTGTTGACGGTGAAGCTGTTGAACATCATTCTTTTTGCCACCGTGAATACAGTTTATTCTTGCCCGTGAAAGCATGCCGAATGGCCAATTCACTGGTTTTCGTTGCTCGCAATGCTCGTCGAACCGATTTGGCAACGAAGCTAAACGATGGACCACTGACTCGGTCCATTATTCCGGATGTTCAAGATACCGATAGCCGGAGGCCAGATTCTTGGAGTCGCCTAATGCCCTCAAAAAGCTGAAATGGTGTGCTACCATTTCTAATCGTTCGAGAGAGGCAAAAATAAAAACATCTGGTAGCCAACAGTGGTATGGCTGATGGCGTCTTTCATTTGATTTTACGGCAGTCTCAGGCGACGCCGCTGGCAGGCCGGATGGCCCGGTAAATCAGATATCGTCGGCCTTTATGGTCTCGGAACTCGACTTCGATAATGTATTGAATTCGAGATTTCTCGGGAACTCTGTAGGACGCTAAGATCTTATGGCAACCTACTAAAATAGGTCATAAGGATTACAGAAGCTCCCCACTCTTGTTATGTTGTCAGACACCTTCTCAGCTCACGCCCTGGAGCCTAGGTCCCCAGCACTACTATTCCTTCCCCTCCGACATAATCCATTTTCTTCCTGTTTACTTACTTCCCCCCCCCCCCCCCCCCCCCCCAAGATTTGGATGCAGCACCTTAACAAGCCCAGTGACAAACGCAAAGAGATTAAGTATCATCACATTCCCCAACAACTCGACTTGTTTCTATCCGGCGGTTCCGAATATGGACCCTTCACAGAGGCCCCGAAAGCGGGCGCGTATGGCGTGTATATGGTGCCATGAGCGCAAGGTCCGCTGCGATGTTTCGATTCACGGGAATCCATGTACAAATTGTCGCCTTGATGGCCATGAGTGTGCTATTCGTGCAAGTTCAGGCAGGGGGTGAGTCCTATCGTTATCATCCATCTCCAAATCTCAGGTTTGCATTCTAGTGTCTATAAGTGCCTCTTTCCCCGAGCTCATATATACAGTGTATTTTAATATTTTAAGCTTACAGTTCACATTTATCAGGCGTGGAGTAAAAATACCCCCGAGAGCCGATACAGCCTTACCCAATGCCCTAGTTCATAAACCGAATAGTAACGCAGGTCTACAAACGGCGCAAAAGATAATTCAAATTCCAGACATATCTCGGTTCGCGGATCCAGCACGGCAAAATCAATTCGGTCCTAATTTGTGGGAAGCGCGTATGTATTTCCCACTGCGGAAGTTTTGTTCTCGATTTCTGTTGATAATAAAGACCCGTCCATTTTCTGTCAATAGGCCCTGTTCTAATGGTATACAGGGGAAATTCCCTTTGAAACCTTCGCTACTCTCGAGGCTCAGATTCCTAAATTTATACTTCCAACCGCAATTGATGCTCCACGTCATAACTCAAACGTTGTTTTTTCATTTTACCGCTTCTTGGAGCTGAGTGATCTCCCAACGCTGCCGGCCGAAGATGTCAGATATTTAGAACTGAAGGGTTCCCTACATGTCCCAGCGTCTCCGATATTAGATGAGTTTGTCCGGCAATACTTTCTGCACGTGCACCCGTGCCTCCCGGTGATCCACGAGGGGGACTTTTGGAGGTCTTACTATAACCGACCTGGCCACTCGCGAAAGCCTCATACCATATCGCTATTTGTGTTCCAAGCGATGTTATTTGCGAGTTGTGCGGTATGGCCTTTGTTCTCTGTATGTTCCCCACCTTGTACCTAGCTAACATGGTTCTGGCTCCTAGTTTGTTCCGTTTCAAGTTATCAATGCAGCCGGATTCCCGGATACTCGCACTGCGAGAAATATATTATATGACCGCGCAAAGGTAATTGTTTATGAAATCTAATTAATTTGCCTAGGCTAATATCGACTTTTTCTCTGTAGTTGCTTTATAATCTCAATGCTGAGCATAATGTGTTATACAAGGCGCAAGGCTCTGTGTTACTCACTTATCAAAGTTCATCGGTGAATCGCCATGCGGGTAGCTTGTGGCTCACTAGTGCAATTCAAAACGCGCTGCTTTTGGAAGCACACAATTACCACAAACTTAATCACGATGATCCGCTCCGCAATACGAAGAAGAGGCTATGGTGGTCCATTCTGCTGCGTGACAGGATCCTGCCTTTAGGGCTGCGTCGGCATCTCCAGATAGCTTCACCTAATTTTGACTTGTCACTAGACTGTATGGATGAGCGAGATATGCAGGAGGAGATGTACTGCTCCGAGGTCTACAACGTTGAAACGAAACGCCATCTTGCAAAAGTCTTGAACCTACAGTGCCAACTCGCAATGGTCCTCACAGACGTAGTGGCAACTGTTTACGCCGCAAACGGCTTTACGCAGCCGCCACCCATGACAGAGACAGAACTTGAAGCCAGTGTTGCTGATGTTGTCGGATTTAGAGAAAATTTAGCACACTGGGCTCGAGACGCCAAAGCGGCATTTGCCCCCTTCCATGGCCCAAAAAAACCACACGAGTCTGTCATACTTTATTCCGAGTTAACGAATATGTACTATCAGTATGTCCACCCATTCCATAACCTTGGTAATTGACGCGACACCTGATGACTTAATATCTAGTGCCGCGCGTGTTGCTTTATGCCATTATGAAGCATTGCTACTCGAAGCCAATTCAGATTTGGTACTGGACTCGTATGAGAATCGTCTTCAAGCTCTTAGGGATGACTTGGAGAGCTCAGCCTTGGGCATAACCAAATCCGTGAAACGGCTGCTAGCCCACGGCGTGGCATGCCATCTTCCTATCAGCGCGTGAGTGCCATGATATACGTGTCCGCGCCTTTCGCGTGGTGCTTGCAAGACAACATTTATTGTATAATACGTACTGAAATCTCTTTCCAGCATTGCTTATACGGCTTTACCTCTTGTTTTAAATGCACTTGACGTGAAACTTTCGGGATCTGGATCGCAGTCCGCCACGAGGAAACGACGATTACGATACTACGCGGAAGTCATGCAATTGTATCGAAGTCGATACGATGGAACCGACGATGTTGCGGTGTACATACGCGAGATTCTCCACTTTGCGGAGGCTCAGAATCTCTCCATTCTTGAAAAACCGTTGGAAGGTGGGTAACCATGTCACGCAGGATTTCTGGGACTATCCTAACCACGGCATGTATAGGTGACGACCCGAACGTTAGTCAAGAAACAAGGGGTTGGGCAGAAGTATTTATTCGACAGCCGCGATTCTATTTGCGCCTGTCCCTTACTCTTGATTACGCCCTTGCACGGGGCAGATATCCACAGGACAGCGACCTCCCAATCCTTGTCCGAGAATTACCAGTGAAAGCTATTACACACTCCACTTATCCAGACAAGACACTAAGCCAGGAGATAGCCGCGCATACTCCAAAGGCAGACCCAGGAGAACAGAAGCAGAACAATGATCAGCCACTGTCCTCTACAGACTCGACTTCACCTAAGATCAACACTGACGATAGCGCCGTGACTGATACTCTGACAAAGGCGGAGATGCCGTCCACTCAAGCTACGTCACCGCCCTGGAGCCCTGAGCAGTTTGGTTCAACCAACGAAGCTCAAGAGAAGCATGAATCGTCTCCCATACAGCCGCATGATTCACAGCAACCGTCCTCACCTCCACACTACCAGGACGTACAAGACATTAACATTGACTTTTTGGATCTTGGTTGTATGCAAAGTATGGAAGATATGAATTTTCCAGATGAGATAGATACGAGCACCGATATTGATTGGGCCAATACCATGCTGGATGAGATACTAAACGCGATTCCGGCATAGCCGAATATGTTAGCCGGTCAAATGAGTCGAGTGGCCATGGGATTTATGGCATGGTGCGACATAATTATGAGCCTGGAGCCTTTCTTATATGATGGAAAAAGGAAATTTGTTGGTCGTTTGTAGTATTCCACCTTTGTAGATGAGCTTCGTTTGGAAGAGATTTAATATTTGGTTGTTCACATGACTATTATGCGAGACAGGCCCGAGGCATTTTAATCAATTATGCTTTTTGGAAACTGGACTCTGGCGCCGAATAATAGCCTATTCGAATATGACTTGTTTGAAAACCTAAGGAGCCAATCATGTATAGCATTAAACATACTAATTTGGGCTGAAGAAGCGACTACTTTCAAGGGAGAAGAGTGATTAAGTTTAGCATCGTTTCCAGCAGGTTTCTATTGTATGTAGATCGATCGATATATCCGTATAATGCAGAAAAGGAGGACGATACTGAAGGGTTACAATATCAATGAAAGGGTTTACTACCCAGGCATAGACGTAGAGGGTGGGTCTTTTGATATGTAATAAAGTCGGAGTGGTGCTAATGTAGATAGAAGCCTATACGCCGGGACCTATGTTGCTTGAAATAGAACAGAAAGACATTTGCCGCGTTTAACGAATCCGGTCCAGCCGGGCGCGGTTCATATGGATTTGGTCGTCCACAGAGTCACTCTGTAGGAATGAGCTATTAGTATAGAGAGCACGGGAGACGCATCGAAAGAGATACGCACCTTGCCCATAATAACATCCAAGCGTTTGTTCTGCTCCTCAAGTTCTCTCCCAGTAGCTCTGGCGAGACCATTCAGTCTCACTGCAGCACCATGAAGAGCATCAAGATTAGAGTCGATCTCGTTCTCCATCTCGTCATCTTCACTGTCTTGCTCAAACTGGTATTTTGAGCGTTCCGCAAGATTAGTTTTCGTCTTTGACGTCGCGGAATGGCCCTGCTTCTCCATCTCCTTGAAAGTCTGACCCAAACGCTGCTCCGTTCGGAATGCAGCTAGCCGCGTTTCTTCTCGTTGGAATCGCTCGTCCTGGTGGCGACTAATGATCGCTTCATCGCGAGCCCTGCGACGCTCTGCGCTTGTGAACGGGTTCGAAACATGCATAGCAAACATGCTTTTGTTGAGTTTCTTGAGCTCACGAGATTTTTCATCGGCGATCCGGTTCTGGTTTGCTGCAAGATCGAGATTTTTTTCGGTGTTGTGGATTCGTTCACCTTGAGCACCTAGACGAGCAAGAGTACTGCGACCAGTTTCTTCGGCTTCCGCAGCCACACGGAGAGCGTTGCGAGTAGAGGAGACATCTTGCTGTTTCATAAAGCGAATTTCTTGTTTTATGGCCTGGACGTCCTCTTCTTCTTCCTCTTCGGCCGTGAGCTGTCTGTCTTGATAAGCACCGTAGCCTCCAGATGTAGTGCCGGGAGCACCGCTCTCGTTCTCAGCTCCAGCATGAGCGCTATATGGGGGAGGACGGGTATTGTCCTGCTGCTGTTGTCGTTCCTGGAATCGCTGGCGAGCATCTCCGAACAGGGCATTTCTATTATCGTCTCCGGCATTAGGGTCCGCATTTCCAAGGCCACCATAGCCTCCAGGGCCGTATCTAGAACCTCCGCCTGTATTATCACTGCCTCCATATCTGTCTCTCCCGTACCCTCCTTGGACGCTCTGTTTCCCTGGACCATAACCACCTCCCATTTGATTCGGGGGCTGGTTTACACCGCCGTAATCACGTTTTGGCCCTCCAGATTGTCCGTTATCACTGGGCTGAGATTGGGGATTACCATAGAGCTTTGATTTTGCCTCCGTATAGGGGTCGGAATATCCAGGGGGTTGGGCATAGGGGTTTGACTGGGGAGCTGGGCTTTTCGCCTTTGACCTTGAGCCAAAAAGGGCTCTTCTATTGTCATCGTCTCCGTCTTCGCCTTTTTTACCGAAGCCCAACTTTCTCATTTTGTGCTAGGTTGTATGTCCGTATGCGCAGGCACAAGTGTTGTGAGGAGGGAGAGGGGAAGGTTATTAAGCTGGTTAGTCAAGGAACTGGACGCAGTCGGAAACACTGATATTTATCTGAAAAAGAAAAAAAAAAGGTTTCCAGACACTGTATTTAACACTATTCGCAGCACACCTGCGAGTGAACACCAGGTGGAAGTGTGAATCGCCAGGAGGAACGGAGGGTCGAAACTCGATGCGTCTCCTTTTGGGGCTCGGCAGCGATGGATGCGCCTTCTTGGGTGGTGGCGGGGGAAGGCTAAGCCGCTTTTGGTTAGCGTAGCAGATCTCCGGCCTCGACGTCCGCCAACTCGAAACCCCCAGTCGTCGCACTTTTCAGCTGCCTGGCAGCTCTGAAGCGGTGGTATATTACATTCATGGGGCCCTTTGATCATGCTGTGCTTGTCTCCGTGAGAGAAGAATTTCTAGTTTGCTGCTTCAATGCAGCCAATCGATAAAAATGGCTCCTCATCCGGGTCTTGAAGCCGATCACATCAAGGAGAAATCCAAGAAAGACCTTCTTGATCTCCTTGAAGCTGTAAGTGTCTACTCTCCTGTTCTTCTAGTTGTATTTGTTTACTCATATACCGTTTAGGTAAGGGGCAAAAAGAACCTTGTAATCAGCAAGGCTCTTGCTGGTCCTGTTGGAGTGTTTGTCAAATTTTCTGTCCTCCAGGAGTACGGAGTTGACCGTGTATTCCTGCTGGAAAACGAAAACGTTGATTCATCTCAGCGGAATATTATTTTCCTAGTCAATGCGGAGAAGCCGAGCCACGTACAATTTGTTTCTGGTATGTATGTCAAGCGAATCATTCGCCCTGCATTTCATTCCTCGGCCTTGTAATACCACGATCAGTACACTTTGCCTTTATGCCCTTCAACCATATCTACCAGGTATTTGGGACAAACAGTAGACTACGTGGGTTTCCTACTTCCACTCTTCGTAGTCAGTCGAGTTCCCTATATTAATTTTTTAAATTTTCATTTTTTTTTTTTTTTTTTTAACTGCCCGTCCCTATGGTTTTCTCTCTACACACTACCACAGTTTGATGGCCATCAGTATGGGCTGACATCATAACTTTAGCTCAGATTCGGAAACTTCAGCGGAATGACACTGTCGAACACGAATTCTCGATATTCTGGGTGCCACGCAGGACCCTTGTTTCCGATCGGATCCTTGAAGAAGAAGGCATCATTGGAGACGTAAACATTGCCGAACTCCCCTTGTACTTTTTTCCCCTTGAGAATGATCTACTTTCTCTAGAGCTCCCAGAATCCTTTAGTGATTTATATTTGGTATGTAATTCTTGATTTATATCTTTAATACTTCTAACAATTCCTAGCATCGAAATCCTGGCGCAATAAATCTTTCAGCAAAGGCGTTGATGCAATTCCAGAGGAGACATGGCCTATTTCCACGTATTGTTGGAAAAGGTGATAATGCGAGAAAGCTAGCAGATCAATTACTGCGCATGAGAAAGGAACTAGACGCAGAAGAGTCATCAGGTCTAGTGGATAGGCTCGGAAGAGGACTCATGGTCAGCTCTACGATGGAAAATTTGATCATCATCGACCGTGAAGTGGACTTTGCAACAGTATTAATGACACAGCTGACATACGAGGGCCTCGTGGACGAATTTTTCGGGATTAGCAATAATCAAACTGAAGTTGATTCGACGATTATTGGTGTGGGTCCTCCGGGCCAGGCATCGCAAGGTTCAGCTTCAGGTGCATCGTCAGCTCCAAAGCAGTCGCTGAAACGCAAAATCCAGGTAGATTCGTCCGACCCACTTTTCAGCCAACTTCGCGATGCCAACTTTGCCATTGTTGGCGGCCTTCTGCATAAAGTTGCAAGGCGTCTGGAAAGCGACTATGAGAGCCGGCATGGCGCCAAAACAACATCGGAGTTGCGAGAATTCGTCAACAAACTTCCAGCTTACCAGGCCGAACACACAAGCTTGAAAATTCATACAAATCTCGCGGAAGAGATTATGCGCCAAACTCGCTCTGATGTCTTTCGGCGAATCCTTGAAGTCCAGCAGAATATAGCAGCTGGTGCAGATCCCGCTACTCAGCATGATCTAATTGAAGAGCTAATTGCTAGGGACGTCCCCATCGCGTCCGTCCTACGACTGTTATGCGTTGAGTCATGCGTTTGTGGGGGTTTTCGTCCCCGCGATCTTGATAATTTCAAAAGACAAATTCTTCAAGCTTACGGGTACCAACATTTGTTGACACTTGACGCTCTTGAAAAGATGGAGCTACTTCAATCACGGTCTTCAGCCACAGCCATGATTCTACCTACCGGCGGCGGCGGTGGTGGAGCATCCGGCCTGAAAACAAACTACAATTATCTCCGTAAAGCGCTTCGACTCATTGTCGATGAAGTCGATGAGCAAAACCCGGATGACATAGCATACGTATACAGCGGATATGCGCCGTTAAGTATTCGCCTGATTCAGTGTATCTTACAAAAGTCTCATATACTCTCCCTCACGAAAAGTCTTCCCGCGCCGGCAGCGGCTGCATCGGGTGGCACACCATCTCCGGGCTGGTTAGGGTTCGAAGACATTGTGAAGAGTGCTCGTGGATCGACATTTAATATCGTCCAAAAAGCAGAGGAGAAGGTCACTCGTGCGAAACAAACATTAACGGGAGCTGGAGGTATCAAGACGGTTTTCATTTTCTTTTTGGGTGGAATTACCTTTACGGAGATCGCTGCTCTACGATTCATTGCCCAACAGGAAGCAGCCAGAAGACGCATAATGATATGTACGACGGGAATTCTCAATGGGACCAAGATGATGGAGGCTGCGATAGAAAAGTCGTAAAATTTTGCATCTTCTACGATTTGTTCTGGATTTTCCACTATGGGCTACGATATCATCTTAGGAGAACCCTTAGCAGGCGAGCACTATCAGAAAAGCCTATTTGTGTCAACGACAGTGATATATCAAAAGGAGTCTTTGGCTATCAGTCGTATTCATTTCAGTATTCAAACTTGCTATCCAGCCCAAGCAACCGACCCTGGTATCTTCTCGTTACTTCTTCGAGCTTCACCATGATCCCTGCTGCTAGTGCTCTCACCCTTTCATCCTCTTTAGGCGCCCGTTCAAACACACCATCGACCCATTCTCGCAGCTCAAGGACTGAAGTAGCAAATTGAGTCGCTAAGCTTTCTTCCGCAGTACTCCCAGATACAATATTGACGTCCACAACGGTGAGAAATAGGGATAGGATAGCAGGTAGGACGATGGGATCAGAGGCGACAGGCAAATTGTGCAATGTGGTGAGAAACGAAAACACTTCGCTTGTGGATAAGTTGAGGGTGGGCGTATGTGGCCCGATGGTTGACAGGAGAAGAGTAATTGTTTGCACAGAAAGAGAAATGAGATGTGGTTCGAGGAATGGATTACTATTCCCGAAGGAACTATACTCCAGTCAGACAAGCTCTGCGGTGTGAACTAGAGAACTTTGCTTACCGCATTGTATACATCATCACACTGAATTCCCCCAGTAATGGCATGAGAAATGCTTCTGATAAAACCCCATATAGCTCTTTGGGCACGGACTTTTGCCTCCGTCTTGATTCCAAGCCACGTTTCTGTCGTTCTTCCTCTGCATAGGAAGAAAGAGGCCGGAGCTTCATAATATTGGGACCAGTTAACTTATCTGCTGCAGTCAGGGCCATGGGCTCTAAGATGCTTTGGGAGATCTGTTTTGATATGGTCTCAATTGACGCCTTGGATGAGTCATAAATTGGTTCTAGATGCTCCGGCAATCTTTTCGAAGGAAATGTATGGGTAGATTTTTCAAGCCCCATGACCTTTGCATCCGCGTCCCCGAAACCAGCGAGTTCTCTGGCAGCTAGTCCAAGCGCTATTAAAACAGATGACCGATGCGCGAGAGAAAGGTCGACGTTAAAAAGTGTGTGCGCCATCCATCGCCCCATTTGGGACGGAAGGGCAACAATAAGGGCGACGAGACCTTCCATTCGCCGCTCGTGAAATTTCGGCATGTCATACCTATCTTGGAGGGAAACAAGTTGTAAAGCAAGCTCGTTGGCACTTTCAACAATTTCCGTACCGAAAGCGGTTTTGCGACGAATGAGGTCTGGTGCGGTCGAAATGGCTAAATGGTAACGGTCTGGATTTTCTGTGTCACTGAGAGCCGAGACAAGATCACGGATATAGCTGGTACCTAATGTTAGCTCGTTATAAACACTCGTTAAAATTAACCGTGAACATACACTGGAGCAGAAGGCTTTGAACGCTGAATAAGAGTGGGATCCTCTTCTGAATCTGAAGCGTCCGAATCAGGTTTTTCGTATGCATAGAGGCCTTCTTCTTCTGACTTATCAGATATCTCTTCAATGCCAACGACTCTAGTTTGGCTGGGTGTGGATTTTGGCTGTGGAGTGTTCGGATGTTGAGATGAAGGTCGCTTTAATAGACTCTGGGATCCAACAGCTTTTAGAGTCGTCAATTCCGTGGGAACACCAACTTCATCCATGACTTCGGTAAGGCTCAGATACCACAAAGCATCCTGGCTCTGCATCTCATCCGATTGGAATTTCATAGCTTTATCAGGAGGATCGGTTAATTTTGAAAGACCCATTCCCACAACCATGCCTAGAAATCGAGATCGAGGGAGAGACGCTCCAATTCTGTGGGTAATTGTAGAAAGATAGGAACCTGATTTAGTTATATTCTCCAACTCAGCCGCATCAGCCCTGTGTAGGTACCCGGCAGCAAGTAATATCACTTGGCAATTGGCTATGTGATTGTCACATAGGGTTAGAGCACGAACTGGTAAGGTGGTGTACTGTAATTACTCACCTTCTTGGATCATCTGTGGTGCGTGTTTTAGGTACAGCTCGTCTCCAAATAGCGCTATGGCTTTCTTTAATATCTCGGACAGGATATCTAAGCGACTGAGTTAGATAGCTGCCAGGACCTGGAACTAGAAAATCATACCTGTTCGATTTGCATATATTACAAGGAGAGCACGGCGCATATTGGCTCCCCTGATATTACCGCCAACGGCTTTAATCAGACAATCAATAACGTGAGAGGACAGAGAGGGCAGTAGGTTTAAAATCAAGGATACTACTGCTGAAACGCCTCGAATAGCAGAGCGCGTCTCGGTCTCATGCAATGGAGTGGAAGCAGGGCCCGTAATATCTAGGAAATATTTCGTCTCTAGGTCATGGATTATGCATTCGAAAACCCGTTTCTGGGAATTTTGCTCCAGGAGGCCTATTAGGGTTCCAAAAGGTCTTGCTGAGATGCTGGGATGAAGTAATAGGCCGGAATATATTTCATTTAAAAGATCGTCTATGTAGATGATAAGTCGTGAAAAGCAAAGGTGGCGTTGGGAGGAATTACTTACTCTGATACCCGAGGCTTAAAGCTCGCTGGGTAAACTTCGCGAGATTGTTCCATCCTTCCGAGTCCTCATCTGTTAAACCTAAAGCCATGGACACGATACAACGGCCAAGCCACGAAGCGTAGTTTTTGCCCTCTCCAAGCCATCGTATTGATTTAGGGATTTCGACATCTTTTAGATTCGCGAACGTTTCACCTGCGGTAGACAATGCTCTCCCCGAAGAGAGAAATACAATGAATTGTGACCAAGCAGACCTTTTCTTAGCAGGAGAAGAAATGTTTGCAATCTTTTGATAGACGTTTAATAGCAAATTTGGTGTCTGCAGGACGTATGAGAGGGCAGAGAGGGTGTCACGGAGCAGTATCTGCCTGGATAGACTATCTCCTCGTTTTTGAACCTGGAATTGGTCGAGATTTGAACGAAGATTGGCAATCAAAGCTCCAATCCCGCTTACGCTGGTCAAGCACCTCAGCACTATTGTGCGAGTAGTCTTAGCCCTTTTGGACTTGGGAGATGATCGATACTCTCTCTCAATATTCGCCCAACGATCATTGATCGCAAGAGTAATTAGGCCGTTCAAGACTGAAATAGTGGATGGCTCTGGCTCCGTTATATCAAATCCGGTTGTAGGGGTATTGGCTGGGTCAAGGAAATTCAAGACTTGGCGAAATTGAGAATCCGACGGCCCTGAACCAAGAAGGTGGAGAGCTTGCCGAGATGTGTTGACGATGCACTTCCCTTCTTCGCTGGGCTGTTCACTGGATGAACGGACGGTACTTTTGGGTATCACTTCGGACAGGCCATTGCCCTCGTCACGGTTTCCGATGCTTACAGTCTTGACGGCTGTTAAGAGATTCTCCATGGCAGGAACCCTACCATGATCGGGTATCAAATACTGATTGACCGGATATTGCGACAAAGTATTCGATGGTATTGTTCAAGAAAGCAAGTAGGACAGTCGTAGGCAGCCGATATGGATTAATGTCGAACTTTGCCAGTAGGACGAGTTACAGGATGACTAATATGGCTGTCTTTGGATCGATTAACTAAAGGCGGTCCTTGGGGAAAAGTTATATAATGTGTTAGCTGCAAAATGTGACTATGAGGATTATTTATGGAAAATGTAAATCATCTCTTGCCGATGGATCCTTGCTCAAAAGTGTTTTGTGCTTTTGAAGCCTGTCTGACTAAAGCGAGACCACGAGGCGCCAACTAGTTAACTACGTTTTCTGGCGCTTGGAGCATGTATTAGAAGGGGAAAGGTTTCTTTTTACTTTCTCGCATGGCACCACAGAACATACTCTCTATTCGAAGTGGTTTATTCTAATAGGCCTCGAAACTACGGAGTAGGGAGCAAGCTACTGACACAGACCATTTAGTGAAGTAGTTGGATTTCCCATCCTCCCCTACTTACAACATCCCAAGGAATTATCCCCGCCTTAAGATTCCCACCCAGCACATTAACATCCTAATATATTAAACCACATTACCAAGTCTTTGAAGAAAATGGCTTCCTGGGGGGACTGCCAGCCCACCAGTTTTGAGCAAAGCAGATGGTTTGTGGATTTCTTGAGGCCTCCCTTGACCCACTTGCCAGCTAAACGCGTCTGATGTTGATGTAGGAAGCATCTCCACAGAATTCTTACTCGGTCAGGCCCCTTCAGTGACGACGATTGGGTTCCTGGACCCGAGACCATGTCTGCTCTAGCATCTTCTAAAGTTCTGTATGTATATGGAAATTGTCTTTTTGGTTGTTACCATGAACTCATCGCTGGATTAGGGTGATGTAAGTAACCTCGATCTGTATCCATGCTGCTCCGTTGATTAAATGCATTCAGAGGTGCTGGAGGGCTCGGATGTGAGATTCTCAAGAATTTGGCCTTATCGGGCTTCAAAGACATCCATGTGATCGACATGGGTAAGTGGCTGTGATCTGGCACCTTGGTGAGATCCTCCTAACAGATGAGTATCCAGATACAATCGATATTTCCAACTTAAACCGACAATTTCTTTTCCGCCAAGATGATGTCGGGAAGCCAAAGGCTGAAGTTGCAGCTGCCTTTGTCCAGAAGAGAGTAAAGGGGGTGAGAATCACACCCTATGTCGGAAAGATTCAAGACAAGGATGAGGATTACTACATGCAGTTCAAGATCGTTGTCTGTGGCCTTGATAGCATCGAAGCGCGACGGTGGATTAATTCTACCCTTGTGGGAATGGTGGACCCGGAGAACCCCGAGAGCCTGAAGCCACTTATCGACGGTGGCACAGAGGGTACGTTCTAGCACCTTTCACTGGTGTTCTAATGAGCCATGCTCTTCCGATATACAGTCCACCCCGAACTAACTCGTATGCAGGATTCAAAGGGCAGGCGAGAGTGATACTGCCAACTCTCACATCTTGTATCGAGTGCCAGCTTGACATGCATGCACCACGGCCTGCAATCCCTTTGTGCACGATTGCAACTATTCCTCGCCAGCCTCAGCACTGTATTGAATGGGCGCACCAAATCGCCTGGGGCGAGAAGCGCAAGGGAGAAGAGTTCGACGGCGATGACTTGGAGCACGTCAGTTGGATCTATCAGACTGCGGTGGAACGTGCCAAACAGTTTTCTATCCCAGGCGTGACGTTCTCGATGACTCAGGGTGTCGTGAAGAATATCATCCCTGCCATAGCTTCCACAAACGCCGTGATTGCAGCTGCATGTACATCTGAAGCACTCAAAATCGCAACCTCATGCAATCCGTTTTTGGAGAACTACATGATGTACGCCGGAGAAGAGGGTGTTTACACGTATACCTTTGCCTCGGAACAGAAACCAGATTGTCCTGTTTGTGGGAATTTGGCCAAGAAGATAACCGTTAGTCCCGAAGGAACCCTCCAAGACTTTGTTGACTCGCTAGGCGAGCGAGCAGAAGCCCAGCTCAAGTCTCCCAGTTTGCGATCTGAAGAGAAGACGCTGTATCAGCGATTTCCGCCACAGTTAGAGGAACAGACACGGCCCAACCTGACGCGCAAGCTGAAAGAACTAGTCGTAGATGGGGAAGAAGTGGCTGTTAGTGACCCGGCGTTCACCATCGATTTCCGATTTAAGCTTGTATTTAATCACTGAATCTCAAACGCGAGATATTGACCATGCAAAAATGACGCAGCCTGGACGATATCAGTGTTTTTCATCAACAGAAAATCCTAAAATTACATATATACAGCCCAGATATGTATTTCCCGCAATAACTCCCAAGTTTACCATCGCAACGCAAGAAGAAATCAGGTTCCTTTTATAAACGAACGCCTAAATGCAAGATGATCGCAAACCCAACATACTAGCACGTCTATGCTAGGTGCGTGTCAGTCATGTCAGCCAACGCGGCAACATTCCGCTTCAATCTCGCGCACTTGAGTTTTAGGACCTTGACGCTCTCAAGGAAGAGCAGATCGCTGTTAAACTGTCCCACGCTCTCAATATTGAAAATGAAATGATCCCGGACGCGGCCAAGCTTAACCTTGCCTTTGAACTCCTCGTGACGCAAACACTCTCTGCTAACAGTGTCTTTGAAAGGATCCACAACCACAGCTTTCTTTTGTCCTTCTTGTCCTTCGTATCCGCTCCCCGCTTGCGCTGCGTCTTCCGCCGTCACCTGCTCGATCCCAATAACTCCCTTCGGGAAACAGTTTGCAAATTTAACAGCATCGTTTCCAAGTATTGGGCGCGTGATTTGGATATCGGGAAGGAGTCTATACGATGCTGTCGCTACCGGAGAGAATTTGGCATGATCCTGCCCGATTCCCTTAATACAATGCATCTCAATATCAATCTTCTGTCCTGGCCGTAGCTTTGCGAGCAGAATGTCCGGATATGCGGGTTGAATCACTCCGTGCGGTCCCGAAAAAAATGCAGCCTGACGGCCCACGGGCTCGAAAACAATGTCCTTGGCGTAGACGTGTGCATTATTATAGAGTTTCGTAGGATCGTCCTCGTCGGGACGTGCGTTTTGGTTCTTTGTGCACTCCACGTTGAGTTTTAGAACGATAGTGTTAGAATCACTGGCCGGGCTACCAGAATCAGGTTCTCCTTCTTTGGGCATTCTAAACCAGCTCATCCAATTGATACCCTCAAGAGAACCCTTCAACGGAACGAGGCCTAGCCGGTGGGAGAGGACTTCATCATGTAGCACAGAGGTATTGTTGTGAATGAAAACGAACTCGATGGCAAGAGAGGGGATTTCGGCAATAAGGATACGTCGAAAAGCATTCGCAACGGCAGCATCGACTCCGATTAGGGAAAAGGTAGCCTCGAAAGGGTCATTCTTGTGGAAGGTGACTTGAAAGTTCTAGAAAGGATAAAATATAAATAAGCATGGGGCCGGAGAATGCGCGGGGGGTCAAAGTTACTTCTTTAAACTTATTCACAGACCAAGAATGGTCTTCTCCTGGCCAATGTCCCGGGAAGTCTGTGGCGGAGATATGCGTGACCGTTTCTGGGTTGATACCAATGATCTATGATATTCAGCAAGAACCATAAACTCGTTAACGCAGCTGGGGAAAGTACCTTTCTTTTGCGAACCTCTTCCGCCGAAGCTATACGGGGCGCCATGGCTTCCTTGCTTTATGGTACCGCGGGGAGAAGCCACTCTGCGCCGACTGAAAGAGATACAAGTTTGACCGCTAGCTCCCGCGATGAAAGATTTCGAGATCTTCCGCCAACTAGACCGACCGATAGCACAGGCTGCACTAGTCCCAATATCGTATAGTATATCTTTCTCCTAGCTTCAGCTTTGTGGCCAATCACATCGTCCGGAATCGGTCACTGACAATGCAGTCACGTGATTGGTCCAAATCGACATCCATCTCGGTTCGCTTTTGGGGAAGAAAGTGACGACAGCCGCAGATTCAATTCCTTCTGCTCGCCGCAGATTTCCCGTCAATTGCGTAGAGGTTTGAGGCACACTTATCCGGGATTGTGCTGGAACTTCTGCTCGCGCACCATGGCCTCAACTCTCACATTCCTGGCGCGACATGCGCCCAAGAGACTTTGTGTCTCGAGTTCCATACCAAACACAGCGGCCCGCCTCGCAGCCCCCAGACTCTTCTCCAATTCTTCCGCCGCCCGACAGTACGATGAATCCGCATATCAAGCAACCAGACTCATTCCAACCGGCCCCGATTTCCGACCCCATTCGCCGACCGCAGTTGGCGAGGCATCCGGCCTGGAATCCGATGCTGGCCATAACCGAAAGATCCGTCACTATACAGTCAACTTTGGGCCACAACATCCCGCGGCCCACGGTGTGTTGCGATTGATTCTGGAACTCAATGGCGAAGAGATTGTTCGCGCTGACCCGCACGTCGGACTTTTGCACCGTGGAACCGAGAAGTTGATCGAGTATAAGACATATCTGCAAGCCCTTCCATACTTCGATCGCCTGGACTACGTTTCCATGATGACCAATGAACAATGCTACTCGTTAGCTGTGGAGAAATTGTTAAATATCGAGATCCCGGAGAGAGCAAAGTGGATTAGAACATTGTTCGGCGAGATTACTAGAATTCTTAACCACCTGATGTCCGTTTTGTCCCACGCTATGGACGTTGGCGCTTTAACACCATTCTTGTGGGGTTTCGAGGAACGAGAAAAATTGATGGTACCATCAGCCTTTGCCCCTTGCCCGTATGCCAGGACCAATGTTGACTTGTCTTTAGGAATTTTACGAAAGAGTTTCCGGCGCTCGTCTCCATGCTGCATATGTTCGACCTGGAGGCGTTCATCAAGATATCCCTCTCGGCCTCCTCGACGATATCTATCAATGGGCTACTCAATTTGGTGACCGCATCGACGAAACCGAAGAACTTCTCACAGACAACAGAATTTGGAAAGCCAGAACCCAAGGGATCGGTGTCGTCTCAGCCGCAGATGCCCTCAATTTCGGCTTCACTGGTGTCATGCTGCGAGGCTCCGGTGTGCCATGGGACATTCGTAAGTCGCAGCCATATGACGCCTACGACCAGGTCGAGTTTGATGTGCCTGTCGGAGTCAATGGAGATTGCTACGACCGATATCTTTGCCGTATGGAGGAATTCCGGCAATCGCTTCGAATCATCCACCAGTGCTTGAACAAAATGCCAGCCGGCCCAGTTCGAGTGGAAGACTACAAGATTAACCCGCCTCCCCGTGCCGCCATGAAGGAGAATATGGAAGCTTTGATTCACCACTTCTTGCTCTTTACAAAGGGTTACGCAGTTCCTCCTGGAGAGACATATTCTGCCATTGAAGCTCCCAAGGGTGAAATGGGTGTGTACATTGTCAGCGATGGAAGTGAGAGACCTTATAGATGTAAGATCCGTGCTCCGGGATTCGCCCATCTCGGATGCTTCGATCAGATTTCTCGAGGTCATCTCTTAGCTGACGCCGTCGCTATTATTGGTAAGCCTTCACTCGATGTAGGGTAGCCCTTACAAAAGATTCAAAACACTAATCCGTTCGTTTTCTAGGTACCATGGATCTTGTGTTTGGAGAGGTTGACAGATAACCTACTTGCATAAGTGAAAAGTATTTGCTACCAATTCGATCTAGTACATAGCCAGCTATTCTTCGCTAAACATTACTCGAGGGCACGAGTGGCTAGATGGGGATGAATTGTTTTACATTACCTACTCCTACTACTTTGCATGTACCCTTTTCCTAGCTGTCTGTTGCAATATATGTTCCTTTCTTCCATTTCTATGCAAGGCCATTATCTTGGTGTGAATTGTAGTTCATTAGACCTGGAGTGCTAGCGTGAACCGAGTCGTCTCCCGTGCAAGGGGGGAAAGAAAAAAGAAAAAGTCGGTCTGACTTCTTGTGGTAGACTCTACGTGAAAACAATGGTTGTATCAAAATTTCATCAGTCATAAGAATGGTCAGTGTCCAGCCTTAAATAAAAGGCAAGAACGACAACCTTAGCAGCCACAAAAAAGCACATAAGAGTCATCTGTAGCAAGGATACGTAGGAGACAAACTTCCCTCGCATTTCCATTGCCCAAGTGTTGTAGAGCCAAATGGCACAAGGCCTCTATCCAAACCGCGCGCAATCCGTGAATAACAAAAGGCTAGAGGCAGATTATTTTCCCTCTTGATTCGTATGCATTTATTCAAACTCCGTCGTCGTCATATTCAAATAAAAGATCCCTTGGCCTTGGGCGGGACCCAGGAGGGAAATCCCCATCATCAGGTGGTCTTTCGTTCCTGGTATTTCCTGTGAGCATGCTCTGGATGCTCATGCAGACGCTTTCTACCGTTTGTACGGGGGTCCAGCCTGTGGAGCCGAGGAGGTCAAGACATATGATTCCATTGCTGTAGACATGGGGATGGATGGGGATGCGACGGGGCGTCGGCGATGACTGAGGAAGGGAGATGAATATGACTTCGGGAGCCTCTGTGATCAAAGCCTATGATGAGCATTTATTCATCTTGAAATATTGGAAGAAGAGGGCTTCGGAGCGAACCTATGGGGTAGTTTCTGGTAAATGTGAAATGGAGGCGGTATGTGTCGTTTTGGTAGAGAGGATTAGAATCAAGAACTTGGATATCCATTTCCCACTCGTGGAAGTTGTCTGCGTTCACTATGGATATTCCAGGTGGAAGGGAGGATTGCATCTGCGGAGTTGCATGTTGTTAGAGAAGGATCTCAGCAACCATGAGAAGGCGGCATCATCAGCAGTGAGGTTTCAGGAACAGTAGTACCTTGAGCAGTTCCTATATTCCAGTGTTAGCCCCGCCAACCGGCGCATAGCTGTGACTTGCAAGTTTACCTTTCCCAGACGCTTGTTCGCGAACATGTTGATAAAAATGGAAAATGATACAGGATACAGGTTGTACACAGAGGAGAGAGAATAATAAAAGTGTAGAAACCCAGCAGAAGCTTTCAGAGTTAGTGAATAAAAGCACTTTGATTAACAGTGACTCATTGCAGAGCACAAGGTCGGTGAGCCTGATTTGGTAAGTTACGCCTCTTGGGTTCTTTGATCAGTCCACTCCAGCCAAAGAGAAACAACAATCAATTCACAGCTCCGGGCAAAGAATAACCAGGCACCGTCTTATGATCAGTGGGTGCCTACGCAGGGCGGCCGGCAAGCGCAGGGCCGATGACGATGGGCGAAGGATCTCACGTGTGTGGCTTGTGAACCGCCCTAGTCCACTTCTAGCTAGCTAGCTGGTTGAGCTGAGGTTCATGGTGCGGTTAGTTTTGGTGGAATGGCTTTTTTGCAGTCAAGACGGTGACGAAGAAACACAAGGATTGAATACCGAGTGCTTTGTAGATGGAATAGCCCATCTCTGCAATAATGCATGGAGTGTTCTTATTAAATATGTGAGATAAGGATATTGCCTCCACATGCTTATAATGCATCAATGTTGTTCAACCTTGCACCACATTCTGGGGGTAAGCAAACGCAACATTACAATGGGAGCGCCATTGGATTTTGATAAATCTTCTGGCATGCTTTGGCTGACTCGGTACCCTTTTTGCTCCGTATGGAGTACATTATCCACTTGGGCATTCCTCTATAACTCGCGTTGGGGAATCCTCTCTGCATATTGATTGGACGCTTGAGCAGAGGACACGGGATGATTTTGCCACCGATCTCGACGCTGACCTCCAACAATCAACTGGCCGAAGGTTCCCAACCTTTGTTGCAGCATTATACCACCAGCCTGGATATTTACCTTGTCCCTGTTGCGCTACAGTTTGCCTCTCGGAGGTGTTCCTGCTGCAGGCTCGCTTCTTTGTCCGCGGGGGGCTTGTTGCGGCTGGTGACCCAAGCTGTGGCTGGTGCCTAGCGCTGCCCCACTTTCGCCCAGGAGGCTGAGGCCGATCCAGGGATGGTTCAGGTACCTCTGGGTGCTGCTAAAGTTGCCTGGAATCTCAGGTCACTGGGAAACGAAGGCTGACCGTCGGGACCCCGCAGTCAACACATCTCGTTCAGCCTCTCCCTGCGCTTCCTCTTCCCAACCCGTCCGTCGCCTCTCCATCAGTGCTCACAGAAATCAATGCTATGGTTTGATCCCTGGTGGTACGTTGTGCACTCCGTCATTAATCTTGGCCTGGTCAGAATTGGTGATCTCTCCGCGGGGATCCTCAGCGCGTAGTTCGCCAGTTGCAAGCTCGATCGTTGACAGGCTAACTGCTCGCAGATCCGCAAGGCAGAGGTCAACAGAACGCTTAGACCCCTTCTTTCCACAAGGTCACCTTGTCTCATTCAAGAACCACTTTCTGTTTTCTGTTTGCTCCCGTTTGATTGTGTTTTTCTGCCCCGCCCCAGCGCTCCCAAGCCGCCGTCGCACTACCCTTGAAAAGTTACGGCCACCAGTCTCTTCTCCCAGCGCTTGAGAGGATCGATCTTCAAACAGTAGTAAAAATGAGTTGTAAGTCAAATATCTTTCATCTCATTCAAATTCTGCCTCGTCCATGGTATGCCTCAACTTCCTATTCAAGTCACTACGCCTGCGCCGTTAAACACCGATGGGTTCCTTTTATAAGCCAGTTCCCATTGGTCATCTGAACTTGGAACTGCACCTGATCACAACAAACATGGTCATGCTTGTCAATGCCAAATAATATTCGAGATTCGGAAGGCTAACATATAAGTTTGATACTTCCCAGTCACAACTATGCTCAATAAGCTGCAAGGGCAACCTGAAAGCTACGAGAAAAAGTACGGAATACCTGTTGACTAAAAATAATGGAACCTTTATCGCTTACGGACGCCAGAGCACAGTACAAATTTGGTAGGACGCTAGGCGCTGGAACATATGGCATTGTTCGTGAAGCAGAAGGCCCGAATGGAAAGGCAGCCGTCAAGATAATTCTCAAGAAGAATGTGAAAGGCAACGAACAGATGGTCTACGATGAACTTGATATGTTGCAACGCCTTCACCATCCCCACATTGTCAGATTCCATGATTGGTTTGAATCGAGGGTATGTTGAGAGCTGCGACTGATCCCCTTGGCACAGTGTTGTGCTGACGAGATGTAGGATAAATACTATATCGTAACCCAGTTAGCTACTGGCGGAGAGTTGTTCGATAGAATCTGTGACTATGGAAAATTCACGGAGAAGGATGCTTCCCAGACAATCCTGCAGGTGCTGGATGCTGTCAACTACCTGCATGAGCGCAATATCGTCCATCGAGGTAAATTCTTTCTGTTTCTATTTCAAGCCCGTTCAACTAACTTTGAACTTAGATTTGAAGCCTGAGAACCTCCTTTATCTCACTCGCGCCCAAGATTCACAGCTCGTCTTGGCCGATTTTGGAATTGCAAAAATGTTGCACAGTCCATCTGAAGTCCTCACAAATATGGCGGGTTCATTCGGTTATGCTGCCCCTGAGGTGATGTTGAAGCAGGGACATGGAAAAGCCGTCGACATGTGGTCTCTCGGGGTTATCACTTATACATTACTCTGCGGTTATTCTCCATTCCGCTCTGAGAACCTCCAAGACTTGATCGACGAATGCCGAAGCGGCCATATCGTGTTCCATGAAAGATACTGGAGAGACGTTTCCAAAGATGCCAAGGATTTTATCCTCGCGCTCCTACAGACTGACCCAACCAAACGAGCAACAAGTGCGGAAGCACTTCAGCACCGATGGCTGAAGGGAGAGACCGCTACTGACCACAACTTGTTGCCAGAACTCAAGGCATACATGGCCAAGGCTCGTCTCAAGCGGGGTATCGAGATCGTGAAGTTGGCTAACCGTATCGAAGCCCTCAAAATGCAGGGAGAAGACGATGACGATATTCCTAGCGCTATCCCAGACAATACGACCCCCTCTTCCAACAGCGGACCAGCAGACCAGACCTCTCCGGTGACTGCGCCCACCAACAAGAAGCGAAGCCTTAGCAGAGCTGCAAAGAGTGCTATTTTCCGTGAAGTGGTGCTCGCCAAAGTCCGCGAGATGAGGCAAGAAGAACAAAAGGAGAAAGTGGAGAAAGAGGCACTAGAAAGGGCAGAAAAGGAGAAACACAAATAGGGGACTCATTTTCCAAAAAGCAATATGACTTGATACCCTTGTTGCCTCACATGTCCTTGTTGATGTTTGTTGTGTTCTGGTGGAAATTAGAATAAAAATGTGATCTCTTCCCTGTTGAAATCTGGTCTAAGTCATGCTTCCCGGAAACTCGGGTGTGCTTATTTCTCTAGGTATACATAGGAGTTCAAACAGTGTTATGCGAAATCTGTCTCCCCTTTATAATCTATGCGCCTGTATATATGCCAGGGATCAGTCCGGGTGACAACGATTGCAATGTGATAGTCCGATTACTTACAGCTTGTCTTTGAGAATAATTTGGTTCATACATTCGTTCCCATTTCCATCTAAAAATCATCTAAACATACATGTCATCATCGATATTTCTGCAGCGAATCTTCTTCTCCCTACTTTCGAACCACCATTCTAGCAACCGTACAACTCCCCCAATGCCTCTTCGCAAATCCTTTCATAATATTCTGACCCTTTCCAGCCCCTCTTAGGATCCCTAATGCCCACCGTGTTCCACCCTTCCGATCGCAAGCGAACGATTCGTTCCTGCTTAGTTTCACTCCCGTTCGAAACATTACGATTCCCACTGCTGGTGCGGCTCGATGGGTTATTTGTTGAGACAACGCCATTACTTTGCCCAAGAAAAGGCGTGAAACTCCAGTATGATGCGAGACGGTTACTTTTAGTGGCTTTGTGGATACATTGAAGTTCAGTGACTTCGGAAATGAGACCGCTGATGTTGGAAATGTTGGTATTGAGCTGGGTGGGGAGGGAAGTCAAGATGTTGAGCATGCGTCCTGATGCTTGTAGTTTTGGTTTCTGGTGCAATTGGAGCGGGTGACGCGGAAGCTCATTTGGTGTGAGATCGATAGAATCAATTGGGACGGCAGTTCGACTCTTCAGCCTAGCATCCGGAGAAACTGCATCCGCAGAAATTGCATTTAGTGGGGCTGGCTTGGGCGTCCGGTTGGGGATTTGCGAATCGGCTGTCCTGCGTGGTGACAATGGAGAAGGTGAGAAAAGTGGTAGCGGAATCAAGGATCTGTCAGGGATCGGTATATTGCTCAGACCTGGCCTTTTGCTTCTAGTCTTTTGGACACGCAGAGGTGGCGGCATAAGTTCAGACACGGACTCGATATCTGCTTCAATTGCCTCAATATCATCATTCCCTGGTGGCTCCAGATCAAAGGTAAACGCATTTTCTGCAGTTTTCGTAGTAAATTCACCCATATCTTCTCCAGAAGCTTGACATTTGTACCTGGCATAAGTTCTCCATGGTTCCGTCAAATAGCAAACAGCATAGACGCGCTTTAAAGTCGCGTCACTCAAAGATCCAGAGACTGACTCGAGATCGTCTTCATTTTCTTTGTCCTCATCCTCATCGATATTGTGTTCATGACCAGAATTCCCATATATATTCGCGTTGTTG